TAATACCTTCTTGAGAAAGTTCATCGGCAGCTTTCAATGCTTCATGCAAAGTAACACCAGCACCAATAACTAAAACTTGATCGTTATTTGATTTTCTTACAATCTAAAATTATAAAATGAATATATAATTTGAAAATTTTTAACATGCAACAACACAATTATTGAAATAGATAAATATAAACACACATTTATTTGTAAAAAAATTTTTCTGGACTGTAAGTAAATAAGTATTATATACAAGATATGAAAATTTAATTCCTGAAATGCACCTTTAAAAACTATATATATGTGGAACTGTAGATTAGTGACTATTGTCATTTTCAAAGAACTCCTTGTGCATCTATACACTGACTTAAATGGTGTTCCCATTTCTGAAGCAAGCCTGGAACTCATTTTATGGAATACTGTTGAGCAGTTGTCTCACATTCTGTTGGATATCAGTTATATTAGAAAATCTTTGTCCTTTCAGCACAGCTTTTAATTTTGGAAATAGCCAGAAATCACAGGAAGCTAAGTCAGATGAATAGGCAGGATGATCTAATTGGATAATTGCTTTTTTGGCCAGAATGTATCGCACAGATGCGCTGTAACTTGGCATGATGAATGCACTTGTCAAATCACACTTTTTCTTCAAATGGAATCATATAATCTCTGCAGTACTCACACTAACATTTCAGTAGTGCATCTACAGATTTTTCATACAAAATTTAATATTAATATGTTGCTCTAAATTTCAGTCATCCATCTTTATGCCAAAGAGTATATGCAGATAACTATTACCTTCCCAATAGCTAATTAACTAGCTCTATCAGCTTGAAATTTACACACTTATTAGTTCACACATGAATGCACATGTCATTTCGATACAATTATGTCACAGGCGACACTATGCAGCCATTAAATTGTCACATATCTTGTATGTATGTGTATGTATATATATATATATATATACATACAGGTAACCCCCGTATAACACGGGAGTTATGTTCCAAAAAATTGCCATGTTATGCGAATCCATGCTATATGAAACAAAGAACTAATATGAAAAGGAGGGGTTAGGTTCCAAAAATTAAAAAACATGCTATTATATTTTCATAATTAAGATAAATATCTTTATTAAAATTTTCTTAAGTGATACCATACATATTAATGTAAATTAAACAATGTTTTCTTCATCATCACTAAGCACTATTAACCGAGGGCATTTTCTTTTTGGCAAAATATCCTTATCCTCTGAGCATTTTTCTGCATTATCTTCAGATCCATGCTCTACCTTTTGCAAAAAATATGCTATTTTAGATTGCTTGCTTTTAGTTAAAAGATCTTTATAAATTTCCTTATATGGTGCTAAGCATTTATGAAGAATAAAGCAAGTATGGAATAAGGGATAAACATCTGGCAACACAAAAGCAGAAGCGTCAAGATCTGGCAACACTGAAACAAGTTTTGAGAAGAACCACATGTATCGACAGAAGGCGGGAAAAGAAAATTTACATACTTAAGTACTAATAGTTCATGAAAATTATGCAGAAAAATCTGATAGTATGTATGCGCTCGAATGAAAAATGTTAAATGAGGTATCTTTCGCACTTAAAAGCTTTATCACATTTATTGAACTGTTGTACGGGGATCTCCCTAATTTCAAATTAGATAAAGTTTGCTTTTAATAGTTTTTATTACTGTACAGTACATTTCATGTTGTACAAGAAGTTTTACCCAATTCTTGAACTGTGTTAGAGTGAATCCGTGCTACAGAAGTGCTGTGCTATATGGGGTTACCTGTACTACACATCTCAAAGTCTGATGAGTTAATATAATAATCCAACAATCACTTAAATATTCGGGCTATAATATGGCTATAATCAAATAATTAATACAAATAAATTTGGTACTAGAGGTAAGCATTAGGTGCCATCTCTTATCTATTAATAAATTAATAATTATAATTTTAATAAATAATTTAGAACCTTCTGGAAGAAACTGGTAGTGCACCATATGGCAAGTGGAGCCTGCAGGTTTAAGTCCTGCCCTGGATCAGTTATTTTCTTTCAGAAGGTTCAAAATTTAAAAAAAAAAATGCTTACTTACCTCTAGTACTGAATTTATTTGTATTATTTGATTATAGGCATATTATAGTCCAAATATTTAGGCAATTGTTGGATTATTATATTAACTCATCAAACTTTGAGACGTGTAGTACATATATAAAATCATCCAGTTAATTAATAACTCAAAGCACCCTAGGCTTTGTCAGTTGCATCATCAAATTTGTTTTGAATAAACCATACATCCTAACTTTTTGTCATGAGTTTTTGGAATAAAATGTGCACATTATTTGAGTAAATACTGTAATTTATTTTACTGTAAACATTGCAGTGAAACTATTGCACCATAGGCTATATATATTATCATGCAACGCTGGAAAGGTCTCTTTTGTACCTAGATAAATGTTAAAATGAACACCCTGTATATTCTGCTTTATATTAATATTAAATATAAATAAGAACATTATTTATTAATGATATTTAGCTTAAATTACTGCTTCTATCTACTTGTATATCAATACAATCTGCCAATGGTTAAAGAAAAAACATTTATTCTAATAATAACATTAATTAAAAGTCGAAAAGTTGAAAATTACCTTTCTTTATCTTGACTCTTACTTCTACTTCTTCTATGTTTTTTTGACACCTTTTTCTTTTTCTTTTTATGTCTGTATTTTTCTTTCTTTTTCTTAACCTTCTTTTCTTTAGGAGTGTCTGAAATTTCCCCAGATGATTCTTCGAAGGAACACGAAAGTGAAGTTTTCTCGGTATTAGAAGTGATTTCACCTTCTTCCAAACTATCAACTTTTTCAGGTTTTTCTTGCTCCAGTTTCTGAGGTATCTGAATAGACTTTAGATCTTTAATTACAATTTTTCCTTTAGATTTTGATGATGTCTGTTTAGAGTCTTCTTTTGACTTTTCATTGACGTTATTAGTTTTCTTTACATCTGACAAAGATGATTCCTCTACTGGTTTTGAATTCTTTTCAACAATAGTTTCGGATTGGATTTTCGAATCTTCTACTGTCTTTTTACTTGTATCACTGGATTTATCTTCTTTTACATTAGAAATTTCTTCTTCTGTTTTATCATCCGAAGAGCTACTGTTAAAATAATCTAATGAAACTATTGCTTGTTTCTCTTTTAGAGCTTTTGGCTTAATATCATTATCTTCCTTTTCTTTTTTAATCATAGAATTATTACTGTTTATCGAATCCATTAAGATTGTATTAATTATATTTAGATGATCAGATGATAGCTTACTCTTTTCTACTTTGTTTTGAACGTTTGCTGTTTCAGATAAATTAATGTCTCCATTATTTAAATCGTTAGAAGTTTTTGTCAAATCACTTGTTTTAGATTTAACACAATCGTTGTCCTTTTTTTGCTCTGAAATATTAACTTCTTTACTTATTGTCTGAGTAACAGGAACCTGATCAGATTTCGGACTTAAGACATTTTTACTTGTGTGAGAAGCATTAGTTACACATAAAGAGTTTGCTTTTTTTAAATTATCTGAATCACTAATATCTAATTTACTCCTTTTATTACTATGTTTTTCTTCATTTTGATCACTGTGCTTTCTTTTTCTACTCTATAATTAAAAATAATTTCTCTTTAAATACAAATATAAATTAAATGACATTTTATTTATTAATTCAATCAATAAATATATTAATTATAGCAATACTTCATTTGTCGTCATCCAACATCCATTTCCAAAATCTTACAGCCAATGCACTAGTAACAAAATTATAACAGTAGGATTAACTAACCACCTCAACTTTAAAGATCCTAAGAGATAATTGAAATAAAAAGTCATTGGCACTGATTGTTATATTGATTTTTCTACCCTTGTGCATTAGCCTTAAGACAGTAGTGTCGACTAGTAATACTAATTATCTCTTTCAATCCTGACAGGAATGACCATCTAAGCCAGTCGTCATCTTTATTTTGCCATTTATACATATTAGTCTTTACAACATATACTTCATGTATGCAATTATACAATATGTGAGTTTTCCGACCTTTATTCACATAGGAGTTGACCTTGAGGTTAAAGGTTACAACCCTTGCTTTGCCCACAATCTGTTAGGATGATGCAAGAAAGCCTTTTTACATATGGGGGTAATGGTTTGCTGGACGCAGAGAGATCCACACAGAGACCGAATTTACAAATTATACCATGTTTATTTCCATAAAAACATGCTTACAATAGAAACAATGGTCTGTCATCAGGCACTCCAAATCAACAAAAAGCACCCTGGAAAGTTCTCTTGATGCTGTCGATTGTTCACACCCACGAAAAAGGGATAAGAAGAGGAAGTTTGTTTCTGATGTAGTAGTGGAGAATGGAGTGATAGAGAGTAGTCACCGCTGGGAAGTTGGGTCCCTAGTCCCTTTCGTCCTGGTTTCCAGAGATGTGGGTCCTTTGTCCTTTGGTAATCCTGGTCTGAGTCTCTGGGACTAGCATTCTCTATCTTAACCTCGCAAAACCTCCTCACGTCTTTGGGACCTCGGACTTTTATGACCTTTTTTTTCCGAAATCCTGAGGTTTTGGTTGGTCCGAATGATGGTCCTCTGTAATTCTATTGGGCCCTGGTCTGTTGCTAGGAATGCAATTCGAACCGCGGGGTCACCAAACATCCCCATCTGGGCCGTTTTCCTCTGGAGTTGGGTCAAGCCCTTCCCCAGATGATGATCCCATAAATTTTACTCTAATGTGTATTTTCTGTCCCAGACGCTGCCCCCTCCACAGGAGTGTCAGCAGGTCCCACTTTGAACTTTCGGTAAGGTGACTGTCCAAAGTTACCCCGGCGGACAATCCCTCTCTCATTCTCATGATGTACAATCACAGATCTGTCAATTAGGTCCAGAATATGACAATTAAATTGTCTCACACCCCATTCCTCAGTTACACCAGTCCTGTTTACAAAATAAGTCACCAATTTATTGGCTTTAGCTTGACAGCCAATTCCCATCTGGTGGGGGTGACGTCCCAGCCTCACAAATACAATTATAAAAAAATTAATGAAATAAGTGCTTAGCTCAAGTAGCCAATACTTTTAATAAAAGAAGTGTTTTTGGATAAATATCTGACCATCCTTGGCTTAGAACAACTCAGTTAATAAATCAGAATGATGTGTCATTCAAAGCTGGAACTTATCCTAACAATAATCAATTTCACACTTTCCAAACTGTTTCTAATACAGTATTGCTGGAAGAAGTATATGAGATTGAGTATAATCAGAATGTTGATAAACATACAGTACACATTTGAATTCCTTTTAGCAATATACTCTTAGTAACTACACTATTAATACTAAAGCAAAAATATTTTTATATATTAAAGAGATTTTCACTGCTTCAATATATATTCTCAAAGCAATGTAACTTGGCATAGTATCTGTAACAATTAAGTGTTAAACATAATAAACACAAACAACATAACAATAACTCAAAAGTTTATTTACGTTTGACTATAGCTCATGCCATTGCTGCCATAAAAAACTAGACTAACTTTCTGTATAGTTACTCATTCCACAATTATCATTATAATTTCAATTCAACATTCAATTCATGTGGATTTAAAGCTGCAATGTCACACTAAAATCTCTAAACTCTCACAAGAACAGATTAAATCCTTTAATACGAAGCTAAAATTGGCAATATTTGCTGGATATAATTAGTCACTTTTATAACCACCTAAAAGGAGTCCTTTGGATGAATAAACTGAAATGTTACTATCTTTGAATCCAACATTCACCCGAGTTCAAGAATTATTCAGAAGACGATTAATTCTCAGATATTTTATTTAAATGCATTTTGGATCAAAACTATTGCCAATCCCTCTTCAAGAAAGGTACTGTACAATCTGTGACAGAGTCTAGACCGATATTTCAAACTCGGTGTAAGCTCTGTTCTAAAATATATTTTATTTACAATATCATTAGAATGATTCAAAATTTTAAGCCTTTCACAAATAAATAAAAGTTAACATAAATACAAAAATTTTAAACATTCTAAAAGTTTATCATTTAAATTAGTTTGAACGTTGATGATAAAACATGTCAATGAAAACAAACTATGCAGACTAAATAAATAAGCTTTGGGAGAGCCATATTTGGCCCAAGCCATAGGTTGGCGACTCATTTTATGTTCTAAAATTACAAAATCTATTTACTAAAAAATACCAAGTGCTGTATAAGAAGAATTCACTGGGACTTTTTTTGTTTCCATCATCAAAGGAACTTAAAAAAGACAGAAAGGGCAACAATTATTGTAAATTTAATTGCTATTATTCAAATCTCTGTATACAAGAAAAAAACGAAACATTATTCAAATCTCTTATTCTTTATCAATCAATAAAAAATAAAAATGATAATTTTTTTTAATCCAAAAATAACTTTTGATAAATTGTATTTAGTTGTATATGATAACATAAATAAAAGAATAAAACAATATTATCAAAATAGATAAGATTATATATAATATTAGAAAATCTACACACATTGTGTGTATAAAGATAGAACAAGAACATTATCAAAGAATTAACAGTTTTAGAGTCTAGATTGTTTGTGTATCTGGAAATTCAACAGTGTTATCAGTATCATTGGGATTATAGATTTTATCATGCTTTTTTATTATTAACTTTAAAACCAATTGAAAAACTCCAGAAATTTTTCATGGATGATCTGTCCTGTTCCTCACCCCAACTGTCCCTTGTGGACTTTGCCAAACTCATGATGGGTATGAAAAAGTATTGTGATCTTAGTGGCCACAGGGTGAAAAAAGCAAATAAATGAAAAAATAATCATTCAAAGAATCACATGAAAAACTTTAATAGTAGTACAATATCACTGAATCATTCTGAAATTATATTCTATAAATAAGATTTTTTCTAAAGTTGCTTTAAAAAAGAATTTCCAATAATAAATAATAACTTAAAATTGTGTCTTGTACTTCAAATTTAGTTCACTCCAGGAAGCTGTTTGAACTCCAAATCAATTTTTTCCATTAGAAATAATGGAAAGTGAATTAATCCATTCCCTGACCCTACACAATACCCATTTTGATAAACTTAAAACAACAAATGCACATAATTTAAGGTAAAAGTAACATGATTAAATGTCCTAATAATAAATTAAAACATGAAAATAAAAATAATATACAGTAATACCTCAACTTATGCTACCCCGAATTACGCGAACCCAGAGTTAGGCGATTTTCAAATCTCGTTGATTTGTCTTTTGTTTGAGCACCATACAACTCTTGATTATTCACTCCCCCTCACACTACTGTTCATCTTACATGTTTGAACATATCCCACAGAATCGACATATAGCTACAATTCATTTTGTGTTATTTATTTCTGTGTTTGTTATATCTACAGAGACTTGAGAGACTCTACTATGTCATCCAAACGAAGTAGAACTGATTCTTCTGCATCAAACAAGAAAAGAAAAACTTTATCTTCGGAATGTAAAATTAACATTAATAAAGACTTCGATACAAAAATGAAAATTTGTGAATTGGCAAAGAAGTTTGATCTACCGAAATCAACAGTCAGAACAATTATAAAAGGTATAAAAAAATTTTTTGAAGCTGTGAAAAATGCTCAATCTTTAAATTCAAGCGTCATTCGTAAACGTCATGGTATTATTGCTGAGTTGGAAACAATGTTAAAATTATGGTGTGATAATCAAGTAATTGTGAAAAATTGTATAATATAATATATTATACATACATATTATCTAAGATTTTTTTTCTAAATTATTGTTTTCTTTAGTCTCCGGCCCCAATTAAAAATTATTTGTATGTATTTATATGCGAAATTATACCCCGACTTACGCGGTTATCGCTCGGTCCCACCTATCGCATAAGTTCAGGGTATTACTGTACATAAATACTATATAATAAAATGAAAATTGCATATACTGGTCATACACCGCCGACTTCAGCATTTTAAACACAGTCTCCGAATCTGCCACAAGTGTATGGCTTTCATGCTTCATGATACTTTTCCTTTTTATTTTTCATCTCAATTGTCGATATTACTTCCTCTTAGGCTTCATTGCTTTTACACACTTCTCAGATGCCATGGTTAATAAGTAAAGATTATATTGGATGGAACAAAAAGTTTTTGCATATTTTTAACAGCTGTTATTACTTAACATGTGTCATTTTATTATAATAATTGTGAAATTTAAAGCATTATTGCTAATATGAGATTGTATTCTTTGTTTAGAAGCTTATTTAAATTTTTTTACTTCACATTTTGTTTGAATAAATCAAATTGAAATGTCTTCAGATAAAACTATTTTTATCTGTATCAGGCATATTATGTTTTATGAATTTCAGACAGGATATAACACCATACAAACAGTAAAAAAAATTTGTAATGTCTATGGGAAAGATGCTCCTAAGCTTCTTACATGTCAAATGTGGTTTAAAAAGTTCTGTTCAGAGAAATTTTGAACTAAAGGATTTAATAAACAAAACTATCACTGTAATTAACTGAGCTAATTATGTGCTATTATTAATGATTAACTATTGGTACTTGAGATAAACATTAGGTGCCATCTCTTATTAAATTTAATAACTATACTACTTAGTAATTAATTTAGTAATTAAGCCGATAATTAAATATGTCTGGGAGCAAAGGGTCGCTCGAGGTTTGGGTATCATAACTGGTAATGCAATCGGTCCTGCACAGTAAAAGGAAGTTGCGGGTTTGATTCCTGCTTCAGGCCGATTCTTTTCTTCCAGGATATTCTAAATTAATTAGTAAATAGTATAGTTATTAAATTTAATAACTATACTATTTACTAATGCTGGCACCTAATGCTTACCTCAAATACCAAATTACTTAATAGTTAATCATTAATAATAGCACTTAATTAGCCCAATTAATTAGTGATTGTTTGGTTTATTATTAATACATTGGGCTTTGTGATATGTATAAAGCAGTGGCATGCCATCCATGGAAGCCATGGAAATGCCGCTTCCCTTGTATTTTCTAAAATATAAATACATATTGTGCGATTATTTTCACATTTTGACATACTTTGAATTACTTAAAATTAATATTTTATTATAACTGCATTATGTATTTTATTACAAATTTCTATACATGTGAAAAACAATGATAAGATTGCTATTGTATATTCAAATATAAATTTGTATATGCATATTCCCAATGGAAGCGCTGTATTGTCGACTATGGGACAGCTTCCATAGCAAAAATATTTGAATCATGGAAAGCAGCCAGATTACAGGCATTTACAAGTGCATCTGTTGAGCACAATTTTTCAGCCACAAAGCAAATTGACACATTGGCAAGGAACACTCAGTTAGAGGAAAGATTGTCGTCACTAGCGTTGCTTTCAATAGCAAAAGATCTTTTCAATACTTTGAAGGAATTAACAACAAGCAATTTTTATGATAAAATAATTAACAACTTTGCAGAAAAAAATTGCTGAATATACTGTAGTTAGTTTAAAAAAAATAATAAAAACAAGTTTTTATATCTTTGTTTCATTCCAATTATTTATTTTAGAATAAAAATAAATAAACTGTTCATTTCTGTCATTTCCAGTATTTTTAAAATTTTTATGGAAACACAGTTTCCTTATCATCAAATGTAACAGAATGCCACTGGTATAAAGTATTTAAAATATATGTGGTGCTCAAAAGCTGTCAACAAACAAAAATTACAGGACAAAATTGTTAAAAATTGGCAAATAACACACCAAAAATGAAGTGAAAAATGCACTGTAAAGCAGTGTTTCCCAACGTGGGACCCACGCCCCACAGGGGGACAATTTGATTGTTAAGGGGGGCAATTCAAAAATGAACTCATCCAGAGTTTAAGTTAACCGTATAACTGCTGTATATGTTAGGGGGGGCATAAGAATTTTAGAAAGGCTTAGGTGGGGCATAGTAAAAAAAGGTCGGGAAACACTGCTGTAAAGATACAAGCATGGGTGCATAATAGATGGTGTTTGCGTTTTGAGCAATTTTTTCACTGCATATGTGGTTTGAACTTTGAACATTGTTTGAACTCCAAAGTGAATTTTTATTAGATTTAGCATTTGAAGTTGAAGTTTTTTGAAGTACCACCTCTATTTTTATTTTATGTCAAATTATTATAATTAAGAAAGCTATTGTTATTTTTGAAGTAATTTATATCAAGAAATCACTTATCACCATAAATAAAAGCTAACTTTATCTCTGAAAAATTTAGTTAAACAATTTACACTGTGAAAAATTTAAATTCATAATCAAAGTTATAACCATAAGCTTATTATAGCCCAATAAGAATCCAGTTATATTACTTGATTATTAACATATGTCAGATTTGATTTTATATATGATTATCCAAATATTTAGTTACTGTAAATATTAAATATGAATTATCCATATTTTATTGGATATCCTTATATTTCAGATGTATTCAATTTTTTAAAAACATCTGAAATACATTCTTTAATGTCAAATGAAGTATTGCTATAACAGTTAACAATTACATAAAAATTTATTTAATCTATTATTTGTTTTATAATAAATAAATAAACCAACTCACTTTATGTTTTCGATGACTTTCACTTGAGTGTTTACTTTTTTTCCTTCTTGATCTTTTATGTTTATGCTTTCTCTTTTTACTTTTCCTTTCTCTTTTCTTTTTCTTCTCAACATAACTATATTTGCTATCATTACTACTACTGTTTTCATTTGTTTCTACATTTGCTTTGATATCTGTCATTTGGTCCATTTTTTTTGCAAAGAATTCGGCTAATATATCACCCACTTGAAGTGGCGAATTAGTATTTTCTGTATCTTTCATCATTATCCCTAAAAAATTAAATAGAAATATTTAAACATTTCACGTATAAAAATTCTAAAATTATATATTGCTCATTTAAACATAACTCACTGTATAGAATTTCAATATAAAACATGTTAATTTATAGCACAAATTATAGTCTGTCTTGCTAGAAAACACAAATAAAGGGTGTCCAAGTTACTGGCAGCGAGAAATTTGAGACATTAAAGTTATACGTATGGCAATGCATACAAGACCCATAAGTCACTCATCCTGTGTTTCCACTTTGTAGCAGATGGTGTTACTACTACCTTGTGGATATTCTGTTTTTGGAAAACTTTGCCAAATACATAATCTCCCATGGTATCTGGCTTGCTTGGTCACCAGAACTCACCCCCCCAGATTTTGTGACCTCTGGAGAATGTTTCTGGAATTTGTTGTAGGAGAAACTGCAATTTTAATGTAAAACTTCACTTTTATTAAAATTTTACTTAAATCATTTCTAATGCACAATAACTTTTCAGACATATGTATGTCCTTTCCAGAACCTGTATGTCCATAAATTCATATTTTATTTTCATGTTGTAACAAAATCTAAGCTGATTTTAGTGAATATGATATAGTGGCCGAAAACATTAAAATATTGAATTTCTTTGCTGGAAATTTTGTATTGAGGTGTAATTTCTTCCTCGTTATAACTGTATATTTAAATGTTCAGTAACTGAAGATGACCACTCAATCCAATCAAAAATGTTTTTATTGTAAACAACTTCTCATTAGAATTTCAAAGGTTGAATTTTAATTATGTCAACACTGTTCTACAGATGTATACTACACTTTTGGATATGAAAATCTATGAACCAAAAGGATAACAATTTCTAATGTATATTTTTAATCATCTATAATTCAGTTTTGTATTTAATTGCAAATTATATAAATTATATCTTTCCCTCTGAAAACATCTTTCATCTTTTCTATTATATGTACTCTCATATTTTGCCTCTCTAATCTTGACCGCCCTAGATAAGTGCCAAACAAATAATATTTTGGATATAAACATGTGACAAGAGGACAGGAAAAAGGCATAGAGAATAGCTATAGAGTAAGATGTAAGACATTGCATTAGATTGGTTTAACTTTTGTGAAAACTGCACTTGTCATAAACCATATTATTACTATCAAATGTTCAAAAATGCAGTATAACTTTAATTTTTAGATGTTTTTTTGGTCCTCTAAAACAATCTCCTTCAGAACAGAAATAAACAAATTTCACTTATAAAGAACAACAAAAACTGGAATGCCCTCTGGAACAAGTTGATTTTGGATATTAATGTTCTAGAACATCAAAAATTTAAATGCTCATTGGAGTTCTAAATATATTAAATTGTTTTTTTGTTTTAAAACATTAATATTCAAAATTATCTTGTTTTGGAGGACATTCCAGCTTTTGTTGTTCTTTTTAAATTGAAATTTGTTTATTTGTCCAGGAGATTGTTTTAGATAACCAAAAACATCTAAAAATTAAAATTATACTGCATTTTTGAACATTTGAGTAATAGTATTGTGGGCTGGTTTAAGGCAGCACAGCACAGATGATACAGTGCCTCCTGGGAGGACTTTCTATAGGAAACCGACTCCTACTCGGATGTTACGCAAATGAAGAAAATCCATTTTCTTCATTTGCGTAACATCCAAGTAGGAGTCTGTTCCCCACAGGATGGCCCACAACCCCAACGCTGGTCATGGGCTGCCCCATCGGCAGGGTATGACCCACAACTGGCATTTGGCGGCTTCATCCACTCGGCCACCAGTGGGCTAGACAAAATCCTCGTACATAACACTTTCTTTGAATGCGTAAAACAGAAATGAATTTATTATTACACAAATTAGAAATGAATGAATAAATTGTTTATTTATTTCATTTTTTAAAGGTATTTAAATAGTCTGAAGTGGAAAAAATCAATGCAATCAAGACTTAAAGCTGAAAATATGAATTTTAATTTACAGTAAATAAATGATGGCAATTTATCATAAAACTTGTAAATTATTTCATAGATTTCGATATTTATTGATAATCAAGCAAATATGCAATACGAATTTATAAATTCGTTTAACTTCTTCGAAACTTTTCATTCGAAATAAAAAAAAATTTTAAACAAATTTATAAAAAAAAATATTTGCTACCTGCTTTTGTCAAACGTTGTCGTCTGGCACCAACAGCGCCATCTCAGAAATGTTTTGCGAATATCGCTTTTTTTTTTTTTATAATTAATGATTTCTATTTATATTTAAAGTTTAATTATAATTTAGCGATAAAAATAAATTTTGTTAAATTGATAGTAATAATATAACTTTTATTCTTCGTCTACTGTATTTAAAAATTAAACTTTTTTTTTTTAACTGTTTCCGCCCTGTAGGCAATAACAGGGCAACTTTTAGCAAGCCCGTTATGGGTTCGGCTAAACTCACAATAGGGCGGCCAATTGTTGAAGGACAGACCACCACCTAGAAATTTTTTGGAGCTTTTTCGACTCGTTCCGGATCCCCTAGAGCGGTAAACTTCCATCTTGACCACTCGGCCATCCGGCCGATACCCTGTGGGCACTTAGAGAGCCTTTTAAATTGTACTTACTGTACTAAAAAAATTATTGCTTTCCCGAACACAATTTCATTTTCATTATCCTTTGGATTGAGTTAAATGCTGTTGTATCATTTACTATTTGACTTTAGAGCCGAACGAACGTACGAAATAATACACTCATTCGTCGATTAACTTAGGTGCGATGCTATGTTTAATTACAATAGGAAAGCGATTGGAACATTCCATTCAAAAGTATTTCTCATTTACTTTTTTAATTGCAGTTTTTTCATCTTATGGATACTAAATGGGAGTTTTTGTTATCAAAGGGTCAAGTCCATAATAGGGGAGGTTTTTCCAATACACAAAACTCGAGTTTTTCGATTGGAGAGCCAGATACTTGATATCCTGGTTTAATCACCTACCACGATCTAATATTTCGCAATTATAAATCTTAAGATATATTCAGCTGCTTTACTTTTATTAGTATTCTTACAAGATAAAACATACAATTTAGAAAAATAAGTTCATTAATTTTCTGGTTTTACTTTTAATTAACTCTTTCCGCCCTATGATCACTAACAGGGCATTTTTTCTAGAAAGCTCATTTTGAATTCGGCCAAGCCAATGACTGGCCGGCCAGATGAAAGACGAGGTACAGTACAATAATTTCGGACGGATCAATCCGAAAAATTCCTGGGAGGGTTTCGATCTGTCCAGGCGATATGCTGTCCCAGAGCGATAGGCTGCCATCTTAGCCATTCGTTACTTTTCTGTTAAAGAATGATACGCATGAAAGTATCTGGTACAAAGCAATATCGAATTTATGTAGAAATGTTTTGCCGTTTTGTTAAATTGGCGCGTTAACTTATCAATTGGCTTTACTGCAGTCGAATAAACCAATGACACAGCTCGTTTCATTTGAAATAGACTATCGTTAGCTTGCTCATCTCACTGTATTAAAGCCGCTCTACCAGGCAAAGCACCATTCCAGTGTTGAAAAATAATAAAACCTCGTTTACAAAATTATAATTAAATATCAAACAGAACAGTTTGAAATATAACTTTATTGAATTATAAACAAAATTCTAAAGGATTTATAACCTTACTCATAAAATTTAAGATATCAATTCTTACGTAACTCAAATACAGGGATAACATAGAACGAGTATTTATAATATACAAGGGATAACAATCAGTAACACAGGACGTGTATCTATAATATTCGGGCTCTTTACACTCTTATATAATCATGTTTACTGTTACCATAGAAAACTTTTAAGGCTAATTATAAATAGTCAGTATATTTATTAATTGACTTTTTCGAAATATTCTTTTGACTTTTCTGGATCCGGCTTAATAGTAGGAGAATCAGGTTTCCAGTTGGCGGGACAAACTTCTCCATGCTTCTCCACAAACTGCAACGCCTTGACAAGTCTCAGAACTTCGTCTACGGATCTTCCAACAGGAAGATCGTTGACAATAATCTGTCGAACAATTCCCTTTGGATCAATGACGAACAGTCCTCTCAATGCTATTCCAGAATCTTCCAAAAGAACTCCATAATCGCTTGCTATACTTTTAGTAAAATCGGATAATAATGGTATTGTCATGTCACCCAGTCCACCTTGCTTTCTGGGAGTGTTAACCCATGCCAAATGACTGAAATGTGAATCTGTGGAGACAGCTACTAACTCGGTATTGAGAGCTTTAAATTCTTTTGCTCTATCGTTAAATGCTATAATTTCCGTAGGACAGACGAAGGTAAAGTCTAAAGGGTAGAAGAACAAAACTAAATATTTCCCTTTATAATCTGCTAATTGAACCTCTTTAAACTGCTTATCTACAACTGCCATTCCTTTAAAATTCGGAGCACTCTGTTGAACTTTCGCCGCCATTAATTTCGAACTTACGTGTAAACATCGTGCCATTCTAACAGTCGGAACCATAACTTTTCGAAAGGAAGAAAATAGAATACTGGCCATTTTATTAATCGATTTCAACACACGAGTTTCACACACACACCACGCGTCTGACCTTTAACGCAGCGTAACGACTCCCCCTGGCGTAAAATTAATTATTTACAACAATTTTAAAATAATTTTTTTAAAAGATTTCAATTGCTATAATTAATATATTAATTATCCAAATATAAAACCACATAATAATAATATATTATATACATAAAAGCACCCAAATATGTCATAGACATAAAGAAATACTAAACTAGAAATAGAAACTAAAACGAAATTATGATTATAAAATTATTTATTAAAATAAATAAAATTTATTTATATTATTATCAATATTTTATAAAATACTTTATTTGTTTTATATAATTAAAAAAATAAATAAATATTTACGTTGTTGCCAGACAAATTAAAATTTTTAAATCTCCTCCCCTATGTAATTGACATAAAACGTGACTTTTCTGTAATCGATTACTTATTATGGTTTTAATGAAATAAATAATATAAGAGGGAAGAAAAATCAATTTTTGCTTGTCCCATTTCTTACTGCGGCCAGTCATTATAACAGAAATGGCATTAAATGCTCTTCCCATTTTAGTTATTAATCTTGGAGGAGAAATGATGTATATTTTGGATCAAAGATTAAAAGCTCAAAACATTCCCAAGGACAAAGGTGATAAAGGTAAGTGTTCATTCTTCTCTAATTTATTTAATTATAAATGAATTAACTGTTATAATGTTGTGATCGTTGTCTAGTTTTGTTTATTCCACGATAATGTGTTGAATTTTTTTTTAAAGTTTTCAAATAAATTTCCTGTCTTAAACACACCTAGTTACTTCCGCTGTTGATATGGTAACCGAGTCAACATAGACAAATATTGCTAAGATACATACTAAAAATAACATTAATTACAATCCCTTCTTCCTGTTTTTCTTTTAAATTCTTAGGTAAGATTCAGAGCTAGAAGAAGAGAAGAGAATGTTACCAAAATTCTTATAACTTGTTTAGTACTGTACATGTATCAGTAGCATAATGGGTCAGTGGCAGACTCGAGATTTAATCTTGGGGAGTATTTCATATTGCCATATTGTCAGTACTAGAGCCTTTTTTTTTTTTTAATAAAGACCATCATAGACTTTGGCTAGACCCAAGACAGGGCGGCTGGGTGGTGAGGGATAGGGCCCAACATACGAACCATTCCGAGAAATTCCTGCAGTTTTTTGGCCTGTCTGGATGCGTTCCAGAGTCCTCCAAAACAAAAGTAGGCTGACACCTTAATCCAGTGTTTTTCAACTTTTTTTCTAATAGTGGCATCTCCAACTTTGTAATTTTTTTCTTGTGACATCTCTACTTTTTTATAAACTTGAAAAGCATTATGCTGCTGCTCATCACTATATTTTGCAGCACCCCCGATGTGTCAATGCAGCATCATTGTTGAATATCGTTGCCTTAAATGCTCGGTCATCTACTACCATGCATAAAACATGTTAAGCATATGTAAATAGAAGGCAAACATTAATGATTTTCATAACTTATTAATATTTAAAAATTAGCTATCATTAATTTTATTGTGTTATATTTAAGTCTCACTAAAAACAAAGCAACATTGTTTTATTTTACTATTGTATATCTCCTAATTATTCTACAGAATAAATTTGGTTTCGTTTAATAATAGTTTAGTAATTTACAATGTTATTTTTAATATAATTGTTTGATGAAATATATTTTGAAATAAGTAAAATTACGAACAAATGTAATCTTTATCATCATTATTTACTGTATTTTTGACTTTATAAGTTGCATTTTTTGTAACTAAAATTTAGGATGTGTCCTATAAGCCGAATGGTCATTATACTGTGGAGAATATCTCAAAAAACAAAAATCAACAAGAAAAATGTGATGCATGTCATAAAGCAGAAATACAATATTTCACTCAAGATGAATGTTATTCCTTGAATGTCACTGCAGTCTTGTAAATTTTTGAATAAATAAGCAAACATTTGTATTTGTTAGAGAGAAAAGTAGATCACATACATTTTTAACAAGTTAAAATCATCTTCAAGCTATATTTTCTCCCCTCTTTCTGTGGGTACTAAGAGGGATTTTTTTCAATATCTACCATGGGTTCAGCCAGGCCGACAACAGAGGGTTGGCTGCACCCATGATGAGAATATATGTATTAGCCTCAACATACCTGGGAGTCATCCATTCAGATTCAATCCCAGGTACCCTAGAGTGGTTTAATTTTAAGCTGTATTTTTCTAGTAATAAATTATTAAATATTTTTTTCTATAAATTGTATTATGTATAAATAGAAAATAATTGTTTTTAAACTTGTTTATATATTTTTAATACTTTTCACTTTATTTTATTTCCACTAGTTGTAAATGATATTGTCAAGACTATGTTTGATAGACAATTTATGGATGAAATTTTCAAGCCACAGCAATTATATTCCAAAAGTGCACTTCGATCATTATTTGAAAAAATTGCTCATGCATCTATTATGAAATTAAATACTCCGAGCATGGACAAGGTTGGTGTTAAATAAATTTTTTATAAAGTTATTATTAAAATAAAAAAAATATAACTTTTCAATTATTATATTGATTTTAGTTATATGATTTGATGACTATGGTGTTCAAATATCAAGTGTATCTGTGTCCTATGCCTCTAGATCTTCTTTCGATTACTCTGAATCATCTGGATGCTATTCGCAATTTTGTCATAACAAAACCTAATATTGCGAGTCAAGTTGATTTCGTTAACATCAAGCTTATGGAGGTCGGTGCATATCAAATATGTAAATATTCTATTCTATGTTATACATTAAAAAATTTTTTTATTTTAGACATATCAAAACCTACCTTTGGCCAGTTTTCAATTGTTAAGATTTACACTTCTTAATTTTTTTCAAGATTTGAGGATTAGGGTGAGTAATTATAAAATTAAGTTCTCTAAAATATGTTATTTGTAGACTAGGAACTACTTAATTTGATTTATTATAGTTATATAATCACAGTGGCCAAACTGTGGCTTGTGAGCTGCATGTGGCACTTTAGACCCTTATTGCAGCTGTCGTCTAGTTATACAATTTCTTTTAATAAACTTCAAGATTATGAAGTATTTACAATCTTGACATTTACAATCCACTTAATGCTAGTCTTCAACTCTTCTTTTGCAAAATAAGTTGAGATAACCATACTTAGAAGAATAATACCAAAGTCAGATCTCTACCCCTAAAACATATAATATATAGGTTGCATAGAGAATGCTGCTCTCACATACTTTTCATATGCGATATATGGCTCCTAGTATGAAAAGGTTTAGCCATCTGTTATATAATTTAATGCCAATCTAATACAAAGACTATAATCACACAATAGAAGTACATTTACAAGTAACTACATATGGTACACAATTACTAATCTGTCTCTCAATTATCTGTGTGATCACCTATGTGCTTTTGTTTCCATGCAAGTGTTAGTAAACAAGAAAACAGGATGTGTGAGTCTCTTATTTCATTTCTGTATACAGTATTGTGTGTCAGCATACCATATTATTTGTTCAACTGCCTCCAAAAAGAATCAGGACCAAATTTGACATGATTCCAATACTTTCCCATGTTATATAAATAACAGCTGAGAAAGTAAAACAACATAATAATATTCCACAAAATAAACTTTTGCATGTTCAAGAACCATTTGTAGAATAATATATTGGCTTTTTTTTGTTGTTGGATTATATAAGAAAAACAATTTGTTTCTAAAAAAACAAAAAACCAAGCACAAGTTTAATATTTAAAAAAAGAAAATGGATATTTTGTATGTAGAGTAAATTGTTTATTCATTGTTGGGCTGCAATTTTAATAAATTGTAACCTATAAATTCCCACCATCATTCATCCATCTGTCTGTCCTACCTTAATCTCAATAACGGGGTTAGATAGACAAAACATGAGACCAGATATGGAAAGCTTAGGGACACAAGGCCTCGATTAAGTATATACAAACTTGCGATTTTCACTGGAAGTCATGTTATTTCAATTCAAAAATTTACCCCTGAAAGGAGTTAGCAAGATAACCAGCATGACTCCATTGCTAACAGAAAAAGTATGATGTACAAGGGCAAGACACTACTAATTTGAGATAGAAAGCATATATTTTAAGTTAAATACATTAAAAATTGCAGCCCGGCATTGCGACGATGTCACAATAAATATTTGCTCGTATTATTTCTATTGCTTCTTGTGAATAGTATACAATATAAATTAAGCAATGAAACTGCAATAAGTTGTATAGTTCAATAAATTTTTTATATTAATTACTGTATAAAGATTTTCATTGATTTAGATCAAAATTATTAATGCAATTAGTAGCACAATCTCTACTCAGTCATAAATAGAATGTGTGAGAATAGACTTTGGCCCTGATGTAATTATAAAGCTAAGGTAGAAGACTACAATCGGTGTTAAAAATTGATTATATCTGTCTTTTTTGTATTGTATGTTGTCATGGACACGAGCAATTTGAAATATTCAGATTTTCAGTGTAAAGTAATTACTGATAATTCAATAAAGGTGTGTTTCTTATATTTTAACAATTAATTAAATATTAAGTTGGTTCCACACATTCAGTATTTGCCAATTGCAGAATAATTGCTGATTTGTCCCCTTCAATTTGGCCTGATATACTGAGTGGGAAATGGCAAATACTAAATATTAGTTCCAAGTAAATCATCGAAATTATTTGGTATTGGTAAAATATTTGCTCAGAATTTAGCAAATACTGAATGTGTGGAGCCATCCCTAAATATATTCTTTAATTTATCAAGTGAACAAATACTTTAAGTAATTTTTAACAGTAAAGCATTTAAGAAAAAAGTAACACATTTTTATTCAAAAGCTTTCCACCACATTTAGACCCACATTTTCTCCCAATGAAATAAAAATTTATAAATTGCAGCATGTGGTAATTGAAATAAAATTATCTAAAACACAGTCAGGAGCTTGTTCTAGATCATTTACTCCATATACAGACTTACTTTATCTTTCTTCAAGACATACTGCATCAGTTAAAAAAATAAAAACTACTGTATTGTGTACACCATTCATTAAATTTCTATATATAATTTTTTTTTTCATCTTTTTTTGAATAATTTAAGTTTCTACCACAAAGCTAACAATGAAATTTATTTATTTTTGATTTAAAATAATAATAAAACAAAATATATATATATCAAAATAATCATTAAATAGTTAAAAAATTAACAATATACAAAAATACTTTGTAAATGCTAACAAAAAATACCTCTTATATCCGATTTGTTTTTGGATAACAATCAATCGAAAAATGTACAATTACATTTAGCCACCAAATGAACAGATAAAGCAATAGGATACTGCTAGTATCAGAATGTAGCACCATTGTACTGACCATACGAACATTAAAATAAATTCATTAAATGAGAGAGAATCATCATCAAAATTTGACTTTGATGCCCATTTGTTGATATCATAGTCAACAATAAAGCCATTTCCCAATTACAGATATCTTTATCATCAGACGATCTGTACAAACCTAGCAACACCAAGAAGATTCCCCTGGAACCAACTGGAGCTGCGCAATTCAAACAGTCCACGTATTTTTTGAACAGACCTCGTAGTGTTAAATTATGCTAGATATAAATAATGCATAATACAGTGAAGCATACCAAAAAGAATGCTACCATTTTAAATTATTATAATTATTATCCTAGAATGTCTTAACATGCACTAAAATGTTGGAAAACCATTAGAGTTTTCATATTTGCCCATTATAATTTCTCAATGCATGCACTTTGCCTCATGTGGTACATATCTGACCAATAATTATTCCTAAGTTTGTCATTGCATGTCCATCACTCCTCCTGTGTCAGCCAGAACTCTTATCTCCCAGAGATTACTCATATTGCATAATGATGAGTGATCCGACTTTGCAAACTGCAGAACACGAAATGCCTTCTCTTTTGTGGAGTTTCCATTTTTGTTTACAGCACATCCTATAGATATAGCAGATGACAAGACGTTCAAATGCAGACAGCAGATGAAACTCGACATTATCCATAATTACATTAAAATGGTAGCATTAATTTTGAAGACTGTATTTAAGCAGTAGCAACTAACACTGTATTATGCATTATTTATATCTAGAATAATGTAACACTACGAGGTCTGTTCAAAAAATACGTGGACTGTTTGAATTGCGCAGCTCCAGTTGGTTCCAGGGGAATCTTCTTGGTGTTGCTAGGTTTGTACAGATTGTCTGGTGATAAAGATATCTGTAATTGGGAAATGGCTTTATTTGTTGATTAGCTATGTGGGTTTTTAGTAAAGTGCAATTTTTTCATTTGTCAGATTTCAGAATGAATGACCTGATGGAGCAACAATTTACTGTGAAATTTTGTGTTAAACTTTGAAAATCTGCAACTGAAACATTTGCTATGCTCAACATGGCTTACGGTGTTTAGGTTGGTGGTCCCCTAAACCCAAAAAAGCTTGCCAAGTTTGATCCAATGTCAAGGTGATGCTGATAGTTTTCTTTGATGCTGAGGGTGTTGTTCACCACAAGTAGCTCCCACAAGGCTCCACAGTGAACCAGACTTACTACATTGAAGTTCTGAAACGTCTGAGGGATGCCATCAATTGCAAATGGCCAGAAATGTGGAGGAGTGGCGACTGGTTTCTCCATTACGACAATGCTCCAGCCCATTCAGCCCTCAGGACTGTTTAAACAAGTGGAAACACCATTGGGAAGGAGAGTACTTTGAAGGGGACCTAGACATGTAACTTCTACATAAAGTACATTTTGTTTTATGACGTCAGTCCGCGTATTTTTTGAACAGACCTCATAACATAATGGCACAGATCACATTGAATCTGTCTAGTGTAATTTGTCTTTTTAGATTAAGTTATCTAATCATTGTCATTTGTTTCAATAAGATAATAAATTTTAATTTTGTATAAAATATTCATTGAAAAATTTATCAAAATAAAAAATTAAACTTGCATGTAATAGGTTTCTATTTTCATAAAAGAGGGAATACAGCATCAAAATGCAAGGTTTAAAATACCATCTCAAGGAACAGTGCCTTATGGCTTTGAAGTGCCTGGAACTATAAGGTATTAATAAATAAATAAAATCTTTTTTGACTTAATTCCTTGTACTAAAATAGATGTAAATCAACAAAAAAATTTTAAATTGTTTACAGAGAATATGGATCTGATGTTTCTCTTCTTTCGGAAACATTTTTCTTAAATGGTGGAAATTATTTACCCTCGGATGCAATGAATCCAGATCAACCAAGCACAACATTAGGAACAAATATGTAAGGAAATATTGTATGTATACATATATAGGGTGAGTAGTCCATTGCACCCTTTTCAAGGTCATGTAAAACAAAAATCTCTTTTACTCCAAATTTAAAGTTGCAAATTATGCAATCCTAAATGTATTTATTTTTGAATCCAGAAAATGGTTTCAGACTAATTAAATGGTGCTCTTTAACTTTGTCATTGGAAATTTTGTTTCCTCTGCTCATAAATGACATTGAATATCATTTTCAAGGTCAGCAAAGTCCTACCCATAACTTCCTGTTGTGTCTACATTAACAAAATTAATATATCTTCAGTGCTTTCAGAATGAAAAGAGTGTAAAGGGGCTTTTGACTCACCATATATAAAAATAATAATAAATTATATAACACATTTAGTTTTTTGTTTTAGTTATACAACTTATAAAGATACTGGAAGGACTGAATATTCAATCCCATCACCACAAACTAATTATGAAGAAGTTTGTATTTACAATATAATATATATTTTTATTTGTAAAATAAAGCATTGATTTTATAATTGAAACTTGTTTTTTAGGAAGAAGAAAGAGAAATTGATAATCATGCTCAAAAGCAATTAGACTTAATGGCTCGTCTTATAGGAAAAACGCAATCGGAGATGGTGCAAAGCGATTCCCATTTCTCCATTAGTATGTTTGGCAATGGTAATGATGAAAAGTTAGTATCTTGTTTTTAATATTTTATTATTAAATTATTTACTTTAGATGTGCATAGTTTAACAATGAGGATACATTCTTAGAAATATGTTAAGTGATCACCATAAATTTAAACAAATCTATACAGTAGTGGTTTTCAATAGGGAGGTTGTGGCATGTTATAGCACTTCAACAACACTTCAGAGATGCTGCAAATAGCCATCAAGTGGGGAGAGATGTTTCTCCAGTCCTGGAGAAAACTTAGGGTAGGAACCACAGTGTGTCCCAATGAAATTATTTTTATTAACAGAATCACACTGCAAACAGCTCTGAGCAATGCTATAACACTCCTTACATGTATTACTGAAAGTATGAAAAACACAATAACTAATTGATAAAGTTGTGGTGCTCCTATTAGAGAAAGGTCAAAAAACATTGCTATATTCTATAGCATTGTGTTACTTACAGCTAAGTATTTATGTAGCTGCACATAGAAAAGGTACAGGTGGTTACAAATTTTTCAGCTCCATCATGGTTTTATGGGATCTATCATATATACAATATGTTGTTAACTGGATCATCAAGCAGCACATACCTACTGAAGATTGGAAAAAATGTAGGCATAAATGAACTAAAATCGGAGGGGATTACTTTAAAGGGAACAAAATAAATTTTGATGAATAAATGCAAATCTTGTGTTTTATTGAACTATTCCCAATACTTTTTAATCACAGGAGTGTGCTGTCATGTTTGCTTTCTAGCATTTTGATCTGAAGTTAAAGCTTTATAAAATTCTTTTGTAATAGATTGACACCTTTTGCAACTCAGATTTATTTATTTTTTAATGTATAATACTATATCCAGTTATTTGTTTTCAAATATATTTTATGAAACAAGCAAAACTTGTGAACAAAAATTCTTTTGATCTTATTCTACAATATGAAAATAATAAGCAATTTTCTTTTACAAGCTGGAAGCAAGTGAAAAGAATGTTTTCCATATTACATATGCTAACAAATGATATCCAAAAGAAAAAAATAACAAGAAACTTGATTATTTAGCATTGCTATTAGGCATATATACAGTTCTAATTTTTAGCCAGCATTACCATAATACAGAAAGTATAAATGGGGCAATTGAAAAGTCTGTCTGTAGTAGTTGTACACTTAGTTCTGTGTTAGTCTAGTGTGTGAGATACCTTCACTGACATTTTTGAAAACAAGAAGAATAGCTTTGTATCTGGCCAACAATGGATGACACTTCCAACATCTGCTGTAAAGCAAGTGTTGGAACTGTCAGGAAATTTAGAGCAAGTAAAATCAATAGAGCTAATAATACTGTTGTAATGTATCACAACCTGTTACATTCATACAATTAAAACATTTAAAATCACTATGGATAAACTTTGATTACCTTTTATATAATAGGAACTCCATTTAATAAAAACTATTCATTATTAATTTAAAGTATCTTGTGTTAGTTTTCAATGAGTGAAATCACATTAATATTATATGTTTATATTAGAGCTGGCTAGAAATATGTTTGAAATTTTAAATTATTAGTATCTTTGAATTTCTATTGTATATTCTATTATTGTATATTGTTTCATTTCTATATATTGTAATGATTTTTAAAACAAAAAACTTTTAAATATATTTATAAACTTTAATTGTCCATTTAAATGAAAATTTTTACACATTTCATCAAGAACTTATTTTTGTAGTTTGACTAAACAGTTTGTTTAAATGTCTTCAATTCTAATTATTCACATTTGTAAAGATTCAATAGAAATTTATTAAAAACAGATTTTTAGTTATTAGAATCTTTTTAAGTAAATATTCCTTAAAACAATCATCAGATTTCATTATAATCTTGAATATAAATTATAAAATTTATTTAAATCTGACTTTGTTCAAAGACAAATCTGTTAAGTTGAGAATCCTTTTCACAGAATTATTTGATCTATGGATATATATCCATAGATTTACACAGAATTCAGTGTTTTTTAAATTTAATTTACAGAATAAATAAAAGCTAAGGATATTTTTGTCAAATTTTTCTTATTCAGAAAAACTTTTAAATAATAAATTTATATTGTGCATTTAGAATGAATGTTTACATATTTATATGCATTAAAAATAATATAGCATTCTTTGTCTTTGGTCAGTTAATGGAATGATTTAAAAAAAAAAAAAAATTGATAAAATTTCAACATCATGCAATGAATTATTGAATGTGAAAATGATTAAAATTAACTATGTACTCCTTTCAGTCAATAATTTCTGAGACAGAGATTGTAAGAAATTATTTACATTAATTTACAAATTACAGAGGTGGTAAGAGTTACACAATACCATTTTCAGAAGCTATGCACTTCTACAATCTGTACAACTGTTAGAAGAAGTCGTGAAAATCATTTTTTGCAACCACCCTGAGCTACCTTCATGACTGTTGAACCTCATCAGATGTGAAATGTCCACCTTTCAGCTGTTCCTTCATCCTGGAGAAAAGAAAGAAGTCTGCAGATACTAAAGAGTAGGGAAAGCAAGGGCACTGCATAAGTGAACTCGCTTATGTTGCTTTTCCAGACATCTGACAAGGTTCAAGCAGCCATAATGGCTACTCTCAAAGTAGTTGCAAAAAAAGTTGCGCTGACTGCTTCCAGCAGTGCAAAGCTACAGAAAGGAAATACTTTGAAGCTGGTATTGCATAACACTTTCTCCAATAGATTTCTTACAACTTCCCTTTCAACTTACTGACTGAAGGATGTATATGTATGTTAGGCTTACCGTTCTAAATAGAGAATTTGCTTTATTACACAGACAATTTTTTTATATTAGTGATTTGGAAATTTGACCTTGTTTTTACATTATTATTTATGCTAATTGGAAATTATTTTTGTGATTTAGTGTAATTGCTCAAGAACAAATAGAAGAAGAAGAAAGAATAATAAATATTAATATTTCAAAGGTAAGAATTATTATTACCATTATTGTAAGAGGGAGATTTTTTTTCTACTTATGGATATCAATTGATTATTCAGTTTTCTATGAAAATAAAAAGATTGTTCTGTGTATAAGTATGCACAAAGGTGATGGTGCTAGAATCAAATGAAATTTGGTCAGCAATTACTAATTTTTGTACTAATAATTTCAATGAATTCAATAAATTTTATTACAAGTTTTCAGTATAATTATCAGATAAATATACTAAAGATTCAAAACTAAATCAATATGAAAAATTTACAATGGATCTTCATAAAAGGAAGAGTCATAATATTTATGAATTTAAGTAAAAAGTGCTATATATTATTAAAGATGACTTATTTAATTTCAGAACTATGGTTTAATTCTTGAATATCAGTCTTTAATGGCCAGAAAAAAATTTATCATATTGTTCTATCAGTTAATCAATGAAATGGAGTGCATTTAAAAGCATTTCTGTGCTAGCATTATAAATATTTTGAAAAACAAAACATTACATTCTTCTTCATAACATAAGAATGTTCAAATTATTAATATGTTTATTAATATTTTTTTAGCCAACTCAGCAAAACGTGCTTGATAAAATTATAGCTGATCTTGGAACAGACAATAATGAAGAAAAAGCAAAGGGTGATGATAATTTATTAGAATTAATGGATTATGCATCTTGTAAGTAAATGATTTGTTTTTTGTACTTATTTCCTCCTTTGAATCTAATAAATGCCAACATAAGAATATACCATTAATATGTAACTAATTATTTTTTTTTTTAGGATTGCATATAATGATAAAATAAATGAGAGATTGTTAGAATATATTTATTAATATCAAACCACAGACAGATCATACACAACTAACAATCTTTGTAAATTAAAAAAAAAACGACGCACTACATTTTTAAAGCACTTGAGATAAATGCTGGAAACCAAATAGATTCATTACCATATTTGAATAAATGTTAGAACAAAATCTTATAATGTTGCACATGTTTAAGTTTTTAACTATTTTTATGTATTTATTTATTTTAAAATAAAAATTGTTATTTCAAAACTATGTAATAATTTGTGAAGCATGTTTATAAACATTATACAATATCATATTGTATTTAGAAAATATATATATATATTCAGTTTTATCAAACAGCAACATGTTTTCTATAAAAAAGATGGAATATATAATTAAATATATCTTTGACTCATATTTATCATCATATTAACAATATTATTAACAATTTTTTTATATAAATATTAGTTATTATAAAATTCTTTTGATAGAAAATACTTCCGGTTGTAGCTCCTTGATAAGTTAACTGATGCACGATTCGAAACATTTCTTTACTGCATCTCTGTAATAAAAATATATTCATTTTAAAATAATGTTAAGAAATCAAACACTGCCCATTCATCCATTTGGAAAAATTATATTCAAATGGCCATATTTACATAAATTTATATAATACAGTGTGTCCCAGAATAAGTTCTACAGTCATTGGTACATTATACACTCCACAAGGTTAGAAGAGTTTGTTGATGCCAAACTGCAGTGGAAATTGAACATAGTGACATACATGCTTTGTGGAGACCTTTTGTTTTGTGATACATTATGAAGTTATTCTGGGACATCCTGTATAAAGATTACAGTTATAGGGACAAAGATTTATGCAATTCCTTCAGATTTTTAAAATATATTACAGTAGAGCCTCAAACTCGGCACTCAATAACCCAGCCACACTCTGGCAGGGCAAAAATACCCTTAGATAATTAATTTTCATCATAGACAGCTTTATGCCTCAAAGTATTTTTCTGAGGTCTGTCTTATCAGGTAAATTACTGTACACTATGTATTCATTAATTTTCATTTTCATGTAGTAAAGGCTATGCCTTCATAAAGGACGTACTTTTCCTTTGTTTAAGGGTATTTGGGCAGTTTATTCTCTGTTGTATTCTCAAGCAAACAATACATACAAGTACAGTACAATATTTTCTGAGGAAACATGCATACTTATCCTTTTTTAACCCCATTCCCGATAACCCGGCATTTTCACAAACTCGGCCACCCTTCAGTCCACATTAGGCCGAGTTTTCGAGGCTCTACTGTACCTTGTTAAATCTTACAGTAGCAGAATACATTTCAGCTTAAAGTTTAATGTACTCTAGCATGAGACAATCCATCAGCTTCATTTTTATTGATTATGAGGAAAGTGTGATTTATAACAATATGTTGAAAGTTGGGGAATTCAAAGCCTTCAAGAAAAGCTTCCGTAGCACATTTAGAAGAATTTATTCTGCAATTACCAGTTATGATATATAGCAGTGATTCCCAAACTTTTGAGCCACTGTTTCCTTGATTCCATTAACATATAGCCAATGCACCTATCCCGGTTTCCCTTGTGTGAGAGCGATTTGAAATATTCTTAAAAAACTTTTCTACGAACCTCACACTTTGTGTCCTTACCATAAAATGTTCTCCACATCTGGAAACCATTAAATGCAATGTTTCTTCTTACACATTTTAAAGGGGAAAGGGAAAGGTTGTCAGTGACACCAACCCTCGCCTACAGTTACCATTCCATAACCTGTCTCCAGTGCTTCCCATGCTGCCCACTTGCTTCTTTTTTGTCCCCCTAGATTTATTCCTTACCCACTTTGGAATAATGACTCAGCATCCACTTTGGAAACCACTGGTATATAGTGTTCTCAGACTAACAGAACTATGTTGACAATGATCAAATTTCTCTCACAGATCATACAAGCATATTTAAGTATGATTAGAAATTACTATAAGCTTTTTAAAACTTAAGCTTTTCTTTTTTAATAAAAATAATTTATTCAGAATGAGGGCAAAAATTTAATTTTATGCAATTAATAAGAGTATTTTCATTATATATTGTAGTTTGAAATGACATCCGGTTCTTCATCTTCACATAACATTTTAGAAAAACTTTTTACCAAACCCTGAATAATTTAGATATAAATTCTTGAGCTTTGGCAATTTGGAAATTTTTTAGGTAAAATAGTTTCAAAAATTTTTATTCTTTTAATAATTAGCATTGTATTAATTTTTTTTCTTTTTGGAGGCTTCAAAAGTAACTAACCAACTAACTGGCTTTTACAGGTGATGTAAGTAAACATCCTTATCATACACTACACAAACATAACCAATTACATATCCATTACATTATATTATTGAGAAATTTAAATTGTAAAAATGATTGGAAGATCAGAAACTATATAGGAAAACAATGATTTAGCAAAACAGATTAACAATTTTTAGTAGTAAAATGATCTTTATGCATTTTAAAAGGTAAGAAAAAACAGGAAATTGCTGATATTTAACAGTAATTATTTCCAATCCAATTCTACAGAATTCTATTCCGTTTGAAAATACAGGAAATGGGAAACTGAATTTTAAAATTCATTTTCCTATAATTGTATTAAGTTTGAAATGTATTTCTAGATTAATAAATTTGAAAAACAAAATTAATGTTTTGATTTGTTTAGAAGATATATATCTTATGCATTTTCATAGAAAAGCTTTCAAATGGAAATCTTTGCATTACAATATTCTGTTGACTAGTAAAAACTTTTCAGATTTTTTCATTATTTTCTTCCAAATTAAGAAATCTTGTTTAATCCTAGTAATAGTATTGTCTAATGCATTTTTTTATAAGATGCATTCATTGTTACATATAGCTGAGGGTCACTACTTTTTCAAATCAAATACTTTAGATGTTAGTGAAGTGTTTAATATTAAAACAAAATATTTACTCTTTCAAGATACTGTTTTATGTATTTGCAGGGAAATCTTGAAAAATTTGTTTCAAATAAATTCATGCTTTATTTAAAATCACAATTGGTAACTAATATCAATTTAGCATGATTAGTTATGACTTTTATTATTTAAAAATCATAATTAAACAATAATATCTTGATTGTGAAGCATTTGTTCTTTTAATTATTTTTCAATTTCTAATTTTTTCTACTTTATCATCAGTTAAACCCAATTAATTCGGCAAATGCATGTATTCCTGTACGATATATAAATGAAATTAAGTTACATAAAAATCTCCATTTATTTTTTAAGTAAGTAATTGTACTACTACTACTTAATTATGAACAACTTATTATAAAGTTTAAAGCTAAAATTCAACTTTAAAACTTTTAAAATACAGAAAAATTCCTTGAGGTTTTCAACCCATCTGAATTTGATCCTGGAGTAATATGCTGCCACCATAACCATCCAGCTGTTCAAAATTTATATTACGGAAAAAAAAGACTAACAACTCAGTCCAGTGATAAGTCATTGTTATCGCACTAATATAGTTTGGATTTTGTGTCAAGAGTAATAAAATTATCATCTCTTAATGTAATAAGATATGGAGATTCAAATTTAAACAAACTTATAATGTTTTTTCTATTTTAAAAGCACAATGATATTTTATAGATCTTTCTACCATTAAAAATAATTTTGAATGACAGAAAATGATTTAATGATCATCCATAAAACATTGCAATTCAAATTTGTTAAAAATTTTGTATTTAATACAAACTCACACACTATATTAAATGTTAGTATGCCGAATAATATTGATTACAATGTATAATTTACCTTGCGTATGGAATGTAAGAAAGAGAATACCATGTCATTGCCAAGAATTGTAGAATGCAAAATAAAATCGTCAATCCTGTCTTTTTCCACTAAAAAATAAAATTTATCGTCATTTAATTAACTTTAAATTCTACACAAGGAAAGAAGAGAATTCTTATTACAGAACAATAAGAATCCACAGATCAGCTCAGTGAAAGACAAATTCCACACAAGATTAGATCTGTGAAACACAGATGAAAGAAAAGAAAAGCAAAGACAAACATCAATGATAGATACAAATATTGATTATTTTTGTGGAACAACAAATAAAGGAAAGGAGAAGAACTGTTGGTAAGATTTAATGTTAATTTACAACATTTAACTGATAATGAATAGGAAGAATTAGCTTGTTAGTTTGATATATAAAAACTCAATGAAAAATTAAGCATCAGAGAGATTAAGAGGTATGAAGCATAGTAACACACAGCATTAAATAGACACATAGAAATTCTAATTAGGATAATAAATTATTAAATATTCTTAAAATAAGGTTAAAATATAAAAATTTGGTGATTTATAACAAATTGGTGCACTGAACAGTACATATTTTACATCAGTTAGTACATATTTTTTACACTTGCTCATTAGAAAAAAAAATCTGAAGTAAATATGATTTTAAAATGTTATTTTTACAGTATAAGTAATATAAATGTAGAAAAATCACACTTCTTACCCTATTAGTACATTCATTATATACAGTGTCTTCAAAAAGAATGTTAACATTTTAAATTATTGTAATTATTGCCCAAGAAGTATGCGATGTATACCAATCAGTAGGGTAATCATCAGAGTTTTGTCTCCCATCAACATTCTAACATCTTGTTGCCTACTACCTCTAGGAAGCACCATAAACGAACATGACAACTTGTCAACAGAGAAACCATTTTGCATTCTGCAGTTCACAAAGTCAGAATCATTTGTCATCATGCAACACAAGTAATCTGCAGGAATTATAGCTGCCATGGGAGCAGTGACAACAGATATGCTGTATTGAGTGTAAGAAGAATTTGAGTATTGGTTGGATGTGCTCCATGTGACACAAGATGCACATGTTGAGAAATTCTAAGGGACAAATGTGAAACTTAGATGGTTTTTCAATGTTTTCATGTATGTTATGACATTCTCAGCTAACGATTACAATAATTTAAAATGTAGTATTCTTTTTGGAAGACCCCATATAGAGATTGATTAATCAACAGTACAACTTATGAGATATAATAAAATCTGTTATGTAATAATATGTAACTTACCCAGAAAGCAGAGAGCATAGTCAATAATATTAAAACCTGAAAATATTTTAGTAAATGTAAATTTGTTTTGTTACAATTATTACAAGTTCATTTTAGAAAATATATTACCAAAACAAGAATGGTAGCAATTATTCGTGTAGAAGCAAACATCTTCTTTAACTGACTCATAGGTCCCATTAAGAAACATGTACTGAAATCAAGAATCTTATTTAATCTTTATATATTTGTAAAATTATTATATATATTAAGATTAAAAAAAATATCAATTACCTACAAAGAGCTGTAACATTACCAAGGGTGTAAAAGATACCAAAGAGTAGCAGTCCATGTTTTAAAAACAAGAACAATGATCCCTATATAAAAAAAATATCAAAAAATTTATATAAATTTTTGTTAGCCTCTATATAATGTATACATGAAGGAATAAGCATTGAAAAAGGTTACACGCAGCCAATCAGAATCAGAGTTTCATCTACGACCTATGATGTACGAGGGGTGTCCGATATTAAAAGTACAGGTGGCTGTTATACAAACTGCACATGTGCAATATTGACGTCATATGCATGATTAGCCACATTCATGCGTGTAGTAGTAGAGTCGGAAAGTAAACAAACATGGTGTGTATGTGTGAGATCAGCAGAGTATTCAAAGTGTGAAGTACATGGAGTGGAGTTATCAGATTTTTGCAAGTCGAAGGAGTTAATCAAAGCAAAATTCATTGCAGATTACAGTGCGTTTATGGCCTGAATGTTTTTAAGCCAAAAAGAAGAGTGTTTGATGCCAAAAATTTAAAGATGGATGAACGGAGCTGAATGATAAACTGGAGAAGAAAAGAGGCAGACCAAGGACTTCGCACACTGATGACAATTGTCAAATGTTTGATTAGGAAAGATGGTTGCATTAAAGTTTGTGAAATTACTGCAATGACTGGCATTCCTAAGAGTTGTGTTCATAAAATCATATGTGACCTAAACTTCCACAAAGTTTTGGCTTGCTGGGTGCTGAATATGCTCTCTGATGAACAAACAACCAATCAAAAGAAGTTCTTCACTTAACCATCTCACCTGATACCACCAGGAAGGGAATTCTTTCATTGAAAGTATCATTACCAGAGATAAAAACCTGGGTTTAAGAGTTTGCCCCAGACACAAACAACAATCCATGATATGGAAACATACCACTTCCCCAGTAAAAAAAAAATTAAAAATTCAACCATCTGCCTGCAAAACCATGGCCATCGTGTTCTGGGATAGTGAAGGCCTACTGCTGTGTGAATTCCTCAAACTGTGCACAACCATTAACAGTTGCAAATAGTGCAAAACTCTCCAGAAATTGCATACAGCTGTTAGAAGGAAAAGGTCAGGATGATTACACAAAGGAGTTAAACTTTTGCACAATGGCGCAAGACCCCACACTTCAAATCAAACCAAACTGTGGTTGGCACAGTGAAATTGGGAGGTCCTGCAACACCCTCCTATTATAGTCCAGATTTAGCCCCTTGGATTTTCATTTATTGGGCCTTTAAAGAAATTTTTGGCAGGAAACACTTTGTGGATCAGGAGAAATTGCAAGACGCCATTCTGAACTACTGCAAACAACTTGACAAGCAACAGAACTGTGAAGAGATGTTCAAACTAGTGTCTTGCTGGAATAAATGTCTCAACGTTCAACGTTTACAGAGATTATGTCGAGAAATAAACAAAAAGTATTGTATGTAGTTTTTTGTGGAAATGTATTAAATATTTTATTTAATTATATACATTAGTGTAATTTTGGCTTGTACCTTAAATATAGGACATCCCTCGTATATTATGTCAATTGTAAAAGTCTAACATTGCACTCTGGCAAACCAGAAGCACTGCCATTATTTCCCTCTTGCATACAAGATTTAAATCAAGGATTTAAAGTATTTACAGCACATTTTGGGCTAAAAGCTTGTTGTAATCTGCATATGTTTTGATATTAGTTATATATTTATTAAAAGCTTTCCTAATTAGTTTTATGTTTATAATTGTTTGAGATGAAAATGACCACTATTCCAGAGAATAATAACGATGGTACATCCAGTTCTGTTAGTGCACTTCTATTTTACCTTTTTAAAATTTACTTTCTCAAAATTTTTAATTAAAATTTTTTCCTAAATATCCATCTCATATTTGACCAATCAATGCCATTAACTTAAAATAATTCTTTGTTTTACTAACATTCCTAATATCCTTATAACTGTAACAAAAACAAATAATTTGCATTCCAACACAAAAGTAAGTTAATGCAGATTATATATCATGTATATATCAGTGATGTGATTGCACCACATGCTGACTAGTTACAATACCAGCTACTGGTATACTGTAAATAAAAATTCTGATTCTGTACATAAATACATATATAAATTACGAGTCTGGTAGAGTGTCGATTACCAAAATAATTATTGTTTGTTAAGTTATGGCAATGCAACACTTGGACGATCTGCATAGGGGATACCTTCCGGGAGGTCTTTTCAAGGGAAACTGGCCCCTATTTAGGCATTACAGATGTGGAGAAAACCCGGAAAACTCCACGTGGCCAGCCCGTCCAAGCGAGGCATGAACCCACAACCGAACTCCCAGTGTTCAGGGTATGAAGACTGCTTGGCCACTGGTGGGCACCAAAATAATTAATGTACAATACTTTTGGATAACCGAACACCAATAAACCTAACAATGGTAAATATTCATAGAGATAAATTGTAAATTAACTATACACTTTTATCTGTTAAAAAATATAACAAACAGAATAACTCATTAGGCAAATTCTAATTTTCATCACCAAAAGGAATGCTTGTTTGTGTATAAATATATATAAAGTAAAAAACCGATCACATCAATCCAAAAACTACATTTGATTTTAATGAATAAGCTGAGTTTATTCTCTATAAAACTATTCACAACTGGAGAATTATGTCCTCTCAGATATTGTGAATAATTCAATGTAAATAAAAACAAACATAATTATCTAAATTGCCTTTGCTTTGGTAGCACATAATATAAAAATGTAGAACACATCTTTAATAAAGTACGGTAGTAATCATTCAAAAAACTTTAATTCATAAGACTTAAATGAAAATCCTTTAACTGTTATTCAGGTTAATATAAAATTATTAAAATATTTAAAACAAATATTCTTTTCTGAATATAACTATTATTAGGAAGTATATTATTATCTGATACTAAATTGATATGCTAATAAAAAAAGCATAACCTTGAACAGAATAAATTTATAAGTGTTCTTTGATAGGTATAAATTTTGAATGATGCAAAACAAATTTGATACTGATGCATGTTGAGATATTACTTTAAAGCAATATTTTAGAAGAATATTTTAATAAAAACAAACAATTTGAAAAAAATATTAAATAAATTAAATTTTGATTGATTTATAGCTATAAATTGGCAATTAATTTGTCAATTTGTTATGATTCATAACTGGGAAGTTTACATAAACTTCCTTGTTGTATAATAATTTACAACAATTTTCATTCATCAAAGTTTTTGCTTGATACTTTTGATTTTATCTTGTAAAAAACATTTCTTTTTATCCTGTGTGAATAATAAATTAATCTCATCAAGGTTACGAGTCATAAAATACTGTTTTAGTGATTCATCATTGTTTTCATTGAAAATTACATTAACTGCCACTTTAAAATATTAAATTTCAAAAATATTTAGTAGTTTACTAGTTGATTAAAATAAAAGTAAATTAAATAATACTATCTTAAAATTACGAAAACAAATATTTTATGTATATCATTTTATGTATATCATCATCTTATCATCAAGCAATTCGTAGCAAAAGAATTACAAATAAGCAAATATTTTATGTTTGTCATCATGCTATTTCTGAGAAATTAAATCCACATTAATTACATGTTTCAATTAAAATAATTCTTTTATTTGAGTCTTAAATATTCAAATTTCTTCTTCTTCTTTTATATAACTTATACGACTACCTAATTTGCTATTAAATTTATTATTTTAAGTTTAATGTATTTACCATAAAAATAATAAACTGAAACTAATAAATATAAAAAAATTTCAATGTAGGAAAACTGTATTAATGGATTTTAATAAAGTTTTAATGATTAAAATAATAATAATAACTGTTAATAGTGCATAAAACTTCAGTAAATATTCAAACTTGCAATATGATGAATGTCAGATTAAAATTTTGCATTATGTCGACATAAAGAAACATTTGAAATTTTACATGTAAATAAATTATAGAATCAAATCTAGTAATTTATAGATTATGCTGATCAATTAATCCCTAACGTCTGTCTAATATCCCAGCATCTAACTAATGAAAAGTTATCTATGTTACCAAATTATAATTTCAGCATTATATTACTTCCTTCAATCAGTCCTGGAAGCTGCATTCTGATACCTAACTTACTAAGTTTCCTATAATTAGTCCAAAACAATGCTTGCCTTGTCAAATGCCTTTATTTCATAGAGTGCATTTAGTGAACAAGAGCACTGCAGCATTTTAGTGAAGCAGCTGACTAAACTAGTCTTAGGCATGTCCACACATTTGGTATATAAACACACATAAGTTTGTTGTGGAAATAATTAATGTTTGTCCGATATCTGAAAATGGACTATTCTCATACACACTAATATCCATACCTACAGAAATTATTCCTGAATTTTTTTGCATTTCTTAACATTTCAAAGTGTCTTGAGTCCAAAAATGTAAAAATCTTGGGGAGGACCACGTTTTGACCAATAACCATACTTTCCCCCTGTTATATATAACAGCCAGGAAAGTAAATATTTAAACTATAAACCAAATTTTAAAAAAAATTAAAACTAAACTCAAAAATAAGAGTAGAAAAGTGTAAGAGACTAAAATGGTAACACTAATGACCAAAAACATACATGTGTAAATGGACAATATGAATGCATGGAGGCAAATATTCATTCACTTTGATTTGGCACAGTTTGCTGACAAGAATTGGGAAATGGCAAATATCAAATATTTTTCACAAGTAAACCATCCACACCACTCAGTATTCACTAAATGTTTGTTTGGTATTCAATGAATAGCAAATGTTTTACAAAAAATATGTTTTTTGGTAGACTATGAATACTGGATGAGTCTATTTCATTCGGTCCTTTCACATGCTATTGAGGTAATGATGATTCCATGGCAGAGTCGACCTTTTATTGTAGGCTACTCGTTTGCCATCCAATGCAAAAAAGTTAAAATAGTCCTCTAGCAGTGGCACAATGATAAAATTAATAAATATATTCGTCCTGGCAATTTTTTAAATGAATAGCAAATGTGTTGACATGCCTTTACATGATGTCATTCTGTCAGTGCTTTCTTGAAGCAGTTCACTATTAGTTCAACCGGGTATTTACCCCATTGCATTAAAGAGCTTTTGTATAGTCGCTTTTTTCATTCTGTCTGTCATGCTGAAAAATGAGTGAAAACATAAATTTAAATTCAAACTTCAACAGAAAATATTCAATATAATCATAAATGCAGACGAACAAAAGAGAATTACAAGTACAGAAATATACTGGATCTAAATGTTTAACATTACACTTCCAAGTTCTGAATCACCACTACACCTGTTGGTTAAGGAACTGAACATGTCTAGCCAAACTTACAGTACCAAGTTAAAGTGATACCTACTTCTTGTTCATTGACTGTGCCCATAAACTGCTGTCCAATAGCCAGACAAGCCTATCATTTGTATTATATTCAGGATGTATAGTTCTATACTGAAGAGAAGATCCTGAAACACATCTAACTACCAATAGCAATTTATGAAATCAAGGTGTCTGATGCAGAAAATTGTTTTGAACAAATTGTTCTTATAGGAAACTAGATAAACTTCCTACATTAATAAATACTTAATAATTAAAATTCTGCAGACAAATTGTGCAATCTTTGTAATCAAATGTCTGGATTATTTAAACAGAAAATTTAAAATAATTCTATGAACACGAAATTAAAATGCAATATTCATTCAGAATTCAAATTTTATTAAATATATTAAACAAATTAAAAAAAAAAAACAACTTACCAAAAATGAAAAGACAAAACCAAGAACAAAACAAATTACGAATCCTTTTATTCTTGTTGACCAACTCAAAGTTGAAGAATCTCTGATCTGTAAAATAGTAATAAGAATTTAGTTTTTCTAAAACCTATAAAACTATAAAATATATTTCATATTCTAAATACACAATCATCATCATTCTGAACACTATAATTTAAATTAGCCCATGAAACTAGTTCCATGGGTTTCCAGTTAATTCTAAGCCAAATTTAATAAAATTTGGCTTATAGTTTTCAGACTGAATACGATTATGTAATAATCAGGATCAATCTGCAAAATATAAGACATAAGTTAATTAAATATTATAATATGAGCAAAATATATTTGAAAGAATAAAAATAAAACACTAAAGATCCAAGATTTAATTTGAATTAAACATTTTTCAGGCCAACACATCCTACTAAAACTGCTTCTAAAGTTTTTCTTTTATTCTTACATCTCAGGCTCATGCAATGTGCTTAAAATATATATTTGAAATGAAAATTAATTAAATAAAGTTTATTTTCTTAAAAATATATTTCTTTTAATTGAAAAACTTTGTTTTTAATTGAAACTAAAAATAAATAAATATATATTTAATCTATTTGTTTAGTGAAAAGTAATAAATAAATAGACTATGAAGTTTTATGTTTGAATAACCTTTGATATTATAACTTTACTCAAAAATTATGTATAAATTAAAATAAAAATTATTGTATACATTAAAATAAATATAAAATGTAAATATGATATCTCTTACTTTTATTATAATCACAAATACTAGTCACTTTGGCACGTGTTTCTGCTTAAGATATATTACAGATAAAGATTGATATATATTTCGGTTATCAACTAACATAGTAATATAATGGTGTGACATTGAACAACTGCATTTTAAATATAAAATTCAGTAAAAGAAATGTTTTTAACTAATTTTTAAATTTAAATTTTAAATTTTTTAAAAAAGAAATTTATATTTTTATGCCATTACATACAAAATATCGAGTAATATTAATAGTTTATATCCTTACAATATCATATCTATATATATATATAAAAGTCAAAATAAGAACAAGTGTATGTTAGGTAAATAATTCTATAATGGGCAACCTTTTTCTATGTAAGGGCTGCATAGCTCCTTACATAGAGAAAGGTTGCCCATCCTTGAAAAACTTTTGAAATGATGCATACAAGAGAAAAGAGGAAAAAAAAATGCTGGTAAATCACAATTATTTGTACATATATAATTATAAATTAGCATAGGTATAGTTAATTTAGCTTCAAACTGATGTAAATGTAACATATCGGAAATATTCAGTTAAATATTAGTCACTGCTAGTTTTAAATTAGTTTCCACACGAGTCTGTTAGCTGATTTCTTGTTTTAATGTTTATTAAATTCATTGCAGGAAAAACTATTCACATACATAAGTTGTAGAAAATAACATTTGAATTTTTGCTACAAACTTTCTTAAGCTGCAAAATTGATATATTTAATCATATTTTATGCAGCAAGGGCCAGAAAAAATATTAATGCGGGCCAAGGGCTGTGAGTTGCCCATCCCTGCTATAATATATCCACACAAAATTTGATACGAATATTCTTCAACACCCTAGAAAAATATTGTTGGGTCCCCAACTACCTCTTTAACTTAAGCCCGAGTAATTTTTTGTTTTGCAGTTTCATTATTGTAAATACTCATTAGTAATTAAAATGTACATTTATTGACCTATCATTATTTTTATCATCCTATCCCAACCCAACCTTGTCGATTCCCTATTCCTTCAAAAGCAAATACCAGACACATGCAGCTAGTAATTTATAAAATTTAACACTTAGCTAAATACAAATTAATTACAATAGACTAATCAAATATAAACTAAGTGAAGATTAATTCAAGATATAAATTTTCTTAAGAAATTTTTGTAGCTTAATTACCAAAAGAGTACTGCATAGAAATTTTTCAAAGAGAATGTAAGATGTTTAGCTTGTATAAAATATGTAAATTATCATTTTATATAAATAAAATTCTTGAATCATATAATATATAAAGAAGAAAGTTTGTTATTTACTTTGTTTTTTATACATTTTGACATGGTTTGAGCAAATGCAATGAAACTTAAGAACCATCCTCTCATCCAGGAGGATGGTCAATGACTACTTTTGCTTGTATTAATTTCAATCCCACCCATAACATGCTCACCTTTCTAGCTGACCTGCAGGAAAGTGGCATTCACATACAAGTTACCAATGAGCAAAAAATACATTTTATGGGTTTTCAAGGGTGCAGAGTATAAATATTTGGTTTACTTATTGTAAAATTTGATTGGTTGGTAAATTATGATTTCATATTCAACTGTGAATGGTACATTAGTTAATATACAAAAAATTTAGATGTCAAATTATCTTCTCATGCAAGCTGCAGCCAATGCTATTTTCTGTTGAAAAATCTAGCAACGAGTTGCATAACTTTCCCGGTGTCATGGTAATATTGTGTAATGACACGATTGGCCAATTTGAACTGTAACAGATGCTGCCGAGGAAAGATTGCAGAAGACCTCAATTGGCTAAATTTGAATTGGTGGCATATGCATCTCAAGGAAGAGATGATTGGTGAAACATCATGCCATGTGGAGGACCTGGAATAAAGCTATAACCAACAAAACTGCCAATTGATCGGCCATCAGCTGTCGACGACTACATAAGGCCAACGCAGAAGCGGAAATTCAACTTTGGGTCTGTCTCACTGACTGTGTTCTACAATAGCCAAAGAAAGTGCCACTACTAGACAATTGTTTGTCAGTCGTAAAGTGCCTTCTTGACGGACAAGTTCGGGAGATAAGAACTATTGGAACTTTTCATTGTTATTGGCATACCGAATGATCGTCAATTGTGAAATTTTTTAACTTTACTCCCGACTTTTATGAGATTTTATTTTAAAAATAACATTTGTATTACTAATCAAAATAAATATCTAAATTGTGTGGTGCCATCTATTATGAGATTTTTTTATATATTTTTAATTATTATAAAATAGCAAAAGACTTAATTTTGAGGATGGAGGTGAGTTTTATAAAAACATTAAGTGCTAACAACTAATAAAATTTTCATTAAGTCTGACCCCTCACAAGATATATCACATGACCACTCTCTCTCTCCATCCCCTTTATCTTTCACAATCATGGTATCTTGTATATAAGGGGCATTAATGCTATTAAATTTTAATAGAATCAATGCCCCTTATTTACAAACTACCGTGCCAAATTTCATTTATCTTCACCCCGTCCTGAGATATTAAGTGAAATAGATGCCAACACACATGTACAGAATGTTTTTGCATTTGTTTTTTACTTTTTTGGGTTCAGGGAATCTCAAATTGTGAAGATTTACAAAAAACTCTGAGGGTCAATTTTGACATGATTCCATTACCTTCCGTTGTTATGTATACATAACAGCTGGGAAAATAAAATATCAATTCCTGTCTACTTAACCAATGAAACTGCACCATTCTGTACCATTTGCGTCTTGCATTCTTAGCAAATACAAAACATGTATTCAGAGGTTTTCTACACACCAAGTGCGAATCTTAGGTCCATTTGCCTCAAAATCTGATTGTTTATTTGTTTTTATTTTTGTTATACAAATTTAAATAATCAATTTCTTTGTTTTTTTCTTCTTCAAAGCAGATTATTTTCATTTTTTTAATATTTTATTACATTTTTCTTCTTGTAATTTATTTAATGCTTTATAATAAACATATCAATGGTAGGTCAAAATAACCAAACACTTATTGTAATAAGGTTTTCATCATAATATTCTTATTTTTTGCCTGCATAGCACCAGCCAGCATATCTGCTAGCTGTACATAAAACCAGAATAGGTAAGGAGGGCCTTATGTATATTTGGAAGGCCCTCCTTATCAACATACTAAATCCATGCAACATTCCCACACTTGATTTGCCCCTCTGTGGGTTAATTTGTATAACTGCTTAAGACAATGTGTCTAGTTCCACAGTTTGGAGGCTTATAGCACATGCGCATTATAACCGCACGTGTTTTTATTTAAATTCTTTTTTCTTTACGTTCTACCATTGCTTTCGTTCCAAAACGTTAATACCATTGGAATAATTTGATATTCATGTTCAAAAAAGGACTTTAACCGTTTTTAACGACTTGACAAAGATGAAAATAATTATCGTCGAAAGCGCTTGTTGATCTAGCGACATTGATTTGTAATTTAACGTCTATATGTTAAGAAGTTTCTCCTAGTAAAACCAGAATATTTTTAAACAAACAATTCTAAAGAATTTAATTAAGTTTTATAACAAAATACACTGCTAAAGTTGAGATAGGAAAAAAAGCATTTAATTAGAAATGTTTTCTATCATCATTTCAGTCATCAGCTAACAGAACACAACAAAATCACCATGTTTGAAAACGTTTCTAATTAAATGTTTTTTTGGTAATCTCTTTAACAATTATTTATTTGTTTCATTATTTTAATGGTGTTAAGTTTTTCGAACTTTCATAATTAACTTTTGTATATTTAATTAACTATTTTCCTTCTTTTAATAACTTTAATTTAATTATTAATGGTTTAAGATAAAATTGTTTCATGAACTTTCTTTATAGATTTTAAAGCAAAATAGAGCACGAAGAACACGGTTCATCTATGATAGATGATTTTTCCATCCGGATCAATGAACGCTCATTACTTATAATCAATTCTATTTTAAGAATTCTTGTATACAATATTTTCATATATATATGCACATGTATAAAATTAGATTTTAAATAATTTATTGACAAAAACCTTTTGTTTATTTTATAGAAATTTATTTTTAAATATTGTTAATAAGAAAAAAATATGCTAATGAATCTTAAGAAAAAAATTAACTAATTGAAAAGCTTTTAATAAAGGCTATTCACTTATTCTAGATGAATTTGGAAGTATCAAGCTAAGCTATTAAAATTCTCTAATACTTTTCAAACAAGTTTAAAGAAGCTCGTTGAACATAACAAAAGTGAAAAGTTTTTACTTCAAAAAATGCAGTTTGAATTAGACATTTCAGTGTATCTTTTAACTAAGGAACCATCCATTAATTACATAATAATTACTTTACTTTTGAAAACACCAAAAATAAATAAAAGTGTCTTCACATTTTTGGGATCCAACAGTCTGATAAAAGCATTGGCAGAGCCAATCTTTTCGCAGAGGTTCTCATCTGTCTCAATATGCAAACACTCTGAACGTGAAGACATTTATTTTCGATATTTATTCTATAAAAGTAATAATAAATGTAATATAAATATATACCAGAATGACATGTATAGTGAGCCACTTTTGACTCTTCACTTCCTGTTGTGTGCAATGATATAGTTTTGGCAAAACCCCTCTCCTTTAATTACATGTATAATAGTTCGGGGATCCCCCCAACATTGAAGAAATTACTTTAAAAAGTTCTGCAAACACTTTGTAACTGATAGTTTGTTCACATGACTTGTAAGCAGGATTATAAAAACAAATCTGTATGCCACTACTTCTAAAGAAAGTCCACACACAGTGTCTTAAGTCTTGTAATTGAAGGTATAAATTATAAACAATTACAATTTTTCATTTTAAAACTGCATTTGAAGGTTCAATTCTAAAATAATTCCAATAAAATCAAAATAAATAACATAAAAATAAATTGTAAACAAAGACGTAACAAAGTCACATAGACAGGCCTTAATAATATTTCAAAATAACTAAATTTATATTGGATTTTATGATTTTTATATGAAAGCATTCTTGATATAAGATACAAAATTGTAATGTTTCAAAGAATTCTCTTATTAAATTATGTTTGATTTCAAAAAATTTTTTAGATAAAACCTATAGTTCTAATTCTATTTAAAGTAAAATCCAAGGATGATTTGAATGATTTTTTATGTAAAATAGTATTTTCATTAGTATTTAAGTCCATACATTATTGCCCTTTGTTTTTGTAAAATTAGCAGCAAGGTCACGTGGGCACATTGACGAAATCTGAGGCAACTAACGAAAACAGAGACAAATTTTTTGTGGAAAAAAAATCAATGAAAACAGAGGTATTACTGTATTTGATTTATTTTATCTTAAAAGTAATTTTGTTACAACTTTATGCTAAATGATTTTGTAATCAATATATAAAGCAGACATTAGATCATTTTACATTTTACACTTTGTTACTCAGCTGTAACAGCTTTTAACCTCTATAAAAACTTTTTTGATGTGATAGATCTTTAAAATACATCAATTATTATAATAATAGCTGAAAGAAGTTTATAACATAGATAATTACAAACAATTCAGCAATAATAAATCGTAATTAGAATTTGAAAATACATTCTCTTCAACTTTCTAATTTGATTTTGAAATTTTCCTTACAGAAATAAATAAAAGTATAATGTAAAATCTTTTTTAATTATAAAGATTATTTATACTTAGGAATTAATTATTAATGAAATATAAAGACACAGTCAATACAGTATGGACATGAGAAGAATGATCAAATATGGATTGTCAAAGAAACCAAGACTAGCCATGAAATGCCAAAGAAAAATACAGAATGACCTAGAATAGGGTGACCAAACGTCCAATTTCCAGGGACTGTCCCCGGTTTTGTCTGTTTTTAACATTTGATTGTAAAATTAATCTTTGAATAATGCAATTTCATAAACACACAACATAATAGTACCAATTTATAGATCAATAAATACATTTTTAAAATATAACCAAAATTCAATCAGTTTTAGATCCTATTTTCCATTATTCTGAAATGTGTCCCCAGTTAGATTGTAAATGTTATGGTCATCCTACCTAAAAGAAAGATATATGAAAAGCCTGTGGAGTAATGTTGAGTAGAAAATCAAGGTAAGATATATGTATGAATAGAACAGGAAAGAATAAAAAAATATCTGAAAACAGGAAAATGATATAGGTGTGTATACATATACATATAGAACCATAAGAAGCTAAATGTGATACTGTAATTTTCAGAAAACAGGATTTGAAAATTGAACCCACCAAAAATTTGATTTTATATAATTATTTGAAATTTTTATATATTTGCTTATTATCCCAAACAGAACACATCGAGTATAATTCAAATACTCTATTATGGAAACACCACAAAATTTACAGCTAGTCTCTCACGGTTCTATACCCATGACGTATACCACCGTACTTACACTGCAGTTAATCTGCTGAATTAACCTTTAACAGCCCATATGTTTCTATATTCAATGGTGAGAAACTGTTTTTAAATGAACCGTCATGTTCTCCATTGAGACTAGTGACATCAGTGCTGTTTCACTGTTGAGCTCAATGGTCTCAATGACCCAAAAGACCATCGAGTATTCAACAAACTAACATGGCGGCTTCCACAAAACAAGTAAATTTTGCTTATAGAAACTATTAATTCACTCTTACTGTGGATGACGTAATAGCGAATAAATTAATGAACAATCTATATATGATAAAATGTGTGACTGCAAGATTATGTTGGATAATTTGGTCAAATATTGAAATATTAAGCTTTTTTTCAAAAACAAACTATCTCCACGAATTTGTCCAAAATTGATCACAACCCAAAAGATGCAGTATAGAAGAAAATGATACAAATAAGGGTTCATTTGAATAAAAGGATTTATTCGAATAATAGTTAAGCGAGATACTTTAATTATTTAGCAAACATTCACAATCGTTGCCTTCTCCTTAATTAAGTCGGCCATCACAAAAAGTGCCCTTTTAACGCAAACATTTCTACAAAATGTGACGTCAGATCATTTAATGGAGGGACTCGACGGAGAATTCACCAGTCATATAAGTGTTGAATTTAGAAACATACGGAGTGAGAATGAAGTTGAACGTCATCACCCACTGTTAAAAATTAAGGTGCATGGATTAATTTATAGAAATATTTCTTAAAACATTTTACTGCTAACCTTTGAATATCATCAAACACATTTGAATTATTTATAATTACTCCTAAGATGATTATATCTTTAATTTTTAAATAAATATTAAATTTTCATTAATTTAAAATGTCAAAAACACCATTACATAAAAGAAAATCCCGACGTCAAGATACTTTTGGGTTCAAACTACCGATTTTCTGTTATATTAGTCGATCAGGTAACACTGCCGTTCTGAATGAGGAGCTTTGAACCCCTCCAAATTTTACACCCCCCCTAGATGCCGCGAAGGGTCACGTGCAGACCACGAGTCCTTTAACTTTTTTACTCCTATGGGTTAGTCTAAGGATCTGATAAGATCCTAACGGTATCATTCAGAGCTGAATTTGTACCATTGATTATATTTGTAAAATATTAAACTGTTATTTTGTTATAAAATTGTTAATTACGTTACCTGTGTGACAATTCCCTGTTCTTCGTCGCCGTCATCTCCACTCAAAGCTTTCTTTAACTTATCCATGTTAGCCTAAGTAATCTTTTACGAACAATTAATAAGAAATAAACATGAGAAATAAATTTCAAACTTTAAATCAAAAATAATCTCTACTGCCACTTCTCATGCTGGGATCCACGAATCACTTATCCACCTTAGTTCATCAAACTGTCATGTGATGGCGTCTTTACATAACATTAGAAAAATAAACGAAATATATTATTATTAATTTCATATTTTATTTACATTTTTAATGTTTAGTTTGGTTTTATTAATTCGATTCTTAGAAAGATTATTAATATAATTCGTAGAGGATAAAATATTATTAAATGAAGCTATCGAGATACAAATACCACGTGTTTCGTAGCCTCGTTCCTGGTAAACGTGTAGAGAATATACACGTGTTTACTGGTATAATTGTAAGTTTCTTTCGTTAAATTATTAATTTATAAGTGAAAATAAATTATAAAAATTAGTTCTGTGTAATGTTAAGGAAACAAATTGAGTAGTTTGAGTGTTTGGTAGAAGAAATAAAGACATTTTATAAGTTTATAAACAAGCCATTCTGATAAAAGATAATACAGTTGTTTCTCTTAATTAACCTTATATAATTGATATTAAAGCTATGAAAGAAAGTAATGGCTATCAAACCAAATGTTAAATGAATTATTGATCAGTTGAGAAAAGAATTCGAGGATTTATACAATAAGCATTGCAAGAAGAATTGATAATCCTACATACAAAATACCCATTTTATCTTGGAGTTATTGCAGTACTTGACTTATTTAATGTTATAGTAATATCATATAATAACAGTTGCCAATCTCCTCTGCTTTTCTGATTGAGAATCTATCTTTAGAAACAGTTGTCAGCCTGAGCTAGATATACACAATCTTCCACTCTAGTACAAGAAAGCCGATTTGAAAGTTCTTGTAAATCTCAGTTTTATGCCAAAATCATATTCTCTAGACCAGTGCTTCCTAAACTTTTTTCATTCACGACCCCATTTTATTATGGGGATCTTTTCGTGACCCTGGGCCAGGTGTTAAATAGAAAATAGACATACTAATATTCCCTGTAACTACTTTATTTATTTGCAAGCAGAACAATATACATAAATATATAAAAACTAGGTGCAGTATTTGACACTGCTGGATGTAAAGCATCTTTAACATTTTTTAATGTTGAACAATATTCAGATTTAATAAGAGTTAAAACTGAAAAAGTCATTTCATATAGGTATGTGGTGCTGAATGGCAGAAGAACATTTTTAATGTCATTTCAGAAATTGTTGGAAATTCAACTCTAGCTCCAATCAAGAATTGAGTCAAGGATTTCTGTTGAAATTTAAATTTTAAGTTAATATCACTTGATAGCTTAGCAAATTCCTGTTGCGAATTTATATGGGCCTGGCTGAACCCATAATGGGCTTGTTAAAATGACACTTTTAGTGTTTATAGGGTGGAAAGAGTTTTAAAAAAAAGCTATTAAGTCAGCCTCATCTACAATCTAAGGTTGGCAACTATGTAATAAGTGTATTAATGTCACTGAAATTTATATACTGTATTTATCTTTAGCCTATATTATGTCAAAAACATTAAAACTAAACTCCTCACTTAAAGAAACATTCTGCAAAAACTTTGATAAATATTTTCAAAGGCAAATTTCATTATCAAATCCCAAACATTTTGAATGAATTTGAATGATTTTTAAAAAATACTATAAATATTGCTTGTGAGAAAAAAGAAATTTCATTGCTGTTATAAGCAGTAGTTGCGGAATACTTTAATTGCTATGTCTAATAAATATGAAACTTGTATTGTATCCAGTTTAACGTTCAATATTTAAGAACTTTCCAGTTTTATTATAGCATAGATACTGTATTTTTATTATGAAATTTTAATTGATATTTAATCCTTAGAGATTATTTCATTTTTAAATAATTTAATCTTTCAGATTTTACTGAAAAATATATAAAATGGAAGAACTTGAGGAAGTCAATGATATTAGTGCAAGTGAAGATGAGGTCAGTATTGCATTTATGTTCTCACATTTTTCAAAATATGGGTAAGATTTATCATCTCTTATCTAAATTAATAGTTAAAATTTAAATAATTTAATTAATAAATAATAATTTAGAATCATCTGGACGTGAAGGCTTGCTTGGGGTCTGGGTGACACATCTGACATGTGCACTGCACGGCAAGCAGAGGATGCGGGTTCAAGCCCCACTCCGAGCCAGTTCTTTTTTTCCAGATGATTCTAAATTATTTAATAAATTATTAATTTAGATAAGAGATGACATCTAACATCTACTTCTAGTACCAGATTATTTAATATTTAATCATTAATAATAGTGGATTTATATCCTGATTATTTAAGGCCATCATTTGGCTCTGTTGTAAAAAAAAGAACTATACACTCTAAAGCCAGTACACAATAGTAATCAAATTCTGCACTTGGAATGGTAATAAAAAAATAAAAAATTTACTACACTATCACAGCACAAGAATACATCTTTGAAGAACAGTTTTGTCACAAAAGCTGCATAGTAGCAAATTGTAAAGCCATCTCTGACGTCAGTCAGTATGCGTTAATTGACAGACTGGATATACAACTTTCTGATTAGTAACATTTATGATGAAACTGTTCCTTAATGACATATCCTCATGCTGTAATATTGTAATGAATTTTTTAATTACAATATCACTTGCAGAATTTGATTACTATTGCATGCCAGCTTTAAGATACAACAGAATGTTACAACATTACAGCTCAGACACATAAATACAAAATATTAATGATTTTAAGCTAAATTTAATGATTTATTTGATGATTGTTGACATAAGGGTTATATCTAGAGTCTGACATTATTAAATTTATATCTAGTTTCCTTAACAAAAATTTAATAATACAAGTTGAACTTAAGTCAAAAACATTTTTGATGTATTAAATATTTGCTGGAATTGATATCTAAGGTGTGAATTTATTAAGTAGCTATGGATTTTATTTATTCTACTCAAAGTTTTAAATAAATAGAAATTAATTTCCAGTTAGTAATCTTTATACAAGATGGTGGCACCTATCTTTAGACAAAATTTCATTAATTGATCAGTTAGATTAACTTTAATATAGACCAAAAACAAATAGGTTTAATATTGATAAAAATAAAAATTATTTTTGTATATAGTCATTTACACTCTTACGAATTTTTAACAAATAAAATTTATTTATATAGGGAGATGATGAAAGGAGACATAAAAAAATGCTGGAAGCCATTAACACTCTGAGTGGAAAACAAGGGTATTTTGATTTATTTATTAACTTACTTTAAAATATTTAAAAGTTTAATTTAATAATTAATACATGTCTTTAAAATTATTTCAGGCATAAACGGGCCTACAGAAAAGAGCCTAGTAATGAAATTTCAGAATTTAATTTATCAGAAGGTATAATTTTAAATTATAAATTTGTTTTGAACTAAAAATATATTAAATAATAAATTTTAATCATCATCATCATACTGAAAGGCTAATATCTTACTGCACAGTTATCACCAGATGACTATGAGTAAGATATTAATCTGTCAATATGGGATATGAATTTAAACTGATCTAGAGAGCCATGATTTATTAAAAGCAATGCAGATTGAACATCATTCCCATTCCTCTTACATGCCTGTTAATCTCTATTACGAATCAGACTTGCTTGTAATAGACTTAAATAGGTATTGTCGGTTATATATCCAGTCATGCAAGCTATAATGTGCTGGTATCTCACATTAATTAATTAATCAATCAATCCTTAATCAAGATTTTTACATTCTTTTACAAACTCTATAAATCTTTTGTATAAAAATTAAATGCAGTTTAAGTCAAAACATATTTAATTCAGATTACTCAAGATTAAATTAATAAGATTGGAAGTAAACAGTAAAGAAATTTCAAAATGTCTTACTTTGAATATCAATATCATACATAATATTTAAAGTATTTTTTAAAAAAATTTCTGTAAATACTAAGCTTAAGATTGCATGAGATTTTGTACATGAATAGAGAGAATTGTAGATGAATGTAGACAACTATGGTAATAACTATTACTCAATGTCTAACACAGGATAATACACAAGTTGTATGATTTTACAAATCAAAGTAATAAAAGTAAGTTTTTGATGATTGGATGGAAAGTGCTTACCAATACCCATGCTAAAGAGACCTGTTGATATGGAAAATACTCTCAAACTGTGATGCAGCACTCTTAATATTATGGCAGATTCGTCACAAACTGGCTCGGTGACTTTTTCTAGCTATCACTGGTAGCAGTTGTGTTCATCTTTAAGTTTTGACATGTGTGTACATTATGAAAATATATAGACTAGAAATTATTTAAATACAGTAAAAGTTTGTTAATCTGACATATATGGGACTAGAATAATGCTGGATTATCCAGTGTTTTTGTACTTTTGCAAAATTTGATGTTATATGTTATGTGAACATTAAAGACATTCTTGTACATTTTGTACTAATTATTTAAAATAACAATAAAAATAATATACTCTGTCTTGCAGCATTAAAATCACACAAAGTGTTGATTATAATGCCACAAGACACAATTGTAAGGTGACCAACTATTTTACAATAAAAAGGAGGACACAAATAAATTGAAGGAAAAAATATCGTAATAAAAGAAACATTTTATTCATTGCAACAATAATACACTATAATAATATATACTGCATGTGTATGTGCCATGTAATATTTCAGTAAGAAGTAAACAAAGCCACTTTTACACCGCACGCACTCTCAAAGTCTTTTGTGCGAAGCGCACATGTCTCATAATCACATCTTGCCACACTGTACCAAGCCTTGATGAATCATCACGTTAAATACAAACACATCATATACAATGGATCGGCTTGGCATCGATTGAATATGGAGATTTACAGATTAGTCTTCAAATATCAAAAAGGAAGACATGTAAGAGGACACTTTTCGAGGGAGGACAGAACTTAAAAAAGAAGGACTGTCCCTTTAGGGAGGACTCCCTAAAGGAGGATGATTGGTCACCTTACACAATAGTATACAGTGGGTGATCGGTTAACTCCTTAAGGACATTGACATTTTTTATATAGATTTCAATTAAACGTAAAAAATACTTAAAACAGAAAAAAAACGAAAGAAATGCGTTTATTTTGAAGAAAAAGCTTTAAATTTTATTTTCCTTTGTTTCGCCTGTCTGTGAAATGTAACACCGATGAGTCATTGTTTACACAGCTGGGTGACCTTGAACACAGCTGGAGTCGGATTTCCCGGGACATTCTCATAGACGTCTCGGGAGGACAAGGGTTTAAAGTAGGGTGACTATAAGCGACACAGAAATTTTTAAATATTTTTAAAAAATTCAATATTTTATTGCGATTTCCGACCCCCCTAATTAATTAATTATATATTTATAAAAATATATTAATTAAAAAAATTAAAAAACCATCGGAGGTCGTTTTTGACATCAGAAACTAACTTTAAATAACTTTACTGAATGAAAATCCGTGCGCTACAACTTAAAAACCATGAAATAATTTTGATAAAAAACTCCCATTAAAAAACAATTAAGCCTTAATCGAGCCTTCACATAGGCTCATTAAAATCGCGATAAAATTTTTTTGCGCGGGAAAAAAATTTTGAAAAAATTTCGGGACCTAAAAAACATTCCAAAAATTCAAAAAAAAAAAATTNACAATAGTATACAGTGGGTGATCGGTTAATGAACATAATCCGTTCCAAGACTTTGTTCACTATCCAAATTGTTCGTTAACCGATTATTGATTTACCATAGATTTCTATGGGAATTTGATTAATTCATTCTGGAGACCCCAAAAAAAATAAAAAAATATATACTTTCTTACTATGTTTATTCATGTGTAATAATAAAAATACATATATACACGGTCTTGCATTTTTATTAGTCATGTTTTTTCTGTTTGTGGGGGTTAAAGAATCTGTCCAATGTCGTTTTCTTTTCTGTCTTCTTCATGATTTTTCAGAAGTAATTAATAGCATTGTAATTGTAGCGATCCCTAGGACTATTAACCTCAACCTGGTTTGGATGCCATTTTAAGACTGTTGTTCTGACATCCTCCAAAAAATCTTTAATAGCAGATATCGGCATAAATTCGCATTTTCAGAAGAAAACATAAAAGAATTGTTTCTGTCAGAAATATAAAAGGTTGGAGTTACAAGGGAGCATTTCAAAGTTCGGGGGAATACAATCCGATCAGTATATACTGGGTAGAACATCGATGTCAACGTCTCCCACACTCCTAAAAGTTTTGAATTGTAGCCTGAAGAGAAAGGAAGACCAATCGGTATTCGTTATTTTATGTTGCTTCTTCTTGGGTTTGTTCAGTGAAGTGTTCATTATCCAAACATGTGTTCGTTGTTCGATCATAAAAATCTTCTGCGAAAGTGTTTGTTATCCGATATGTTCATTAACTGATCATCCACTGTATTATTTTTATTGTTATTTTAAACAAAATCTTTGCACGAAGTGCACCACTTCTTGTACTAATTAAAGAGTATGCATAAACAAAATCTTTAATCAGTCTGAAAATTATGCATTACTTGACCATATTGTAAAATACTAAATTACAAAACCAAACTCCAGTTTTTAAAATAAAATTTAAGTTTAATAAGTAATGTTTTCTGTAATTTTCTTAAATTACCATTGTCAGGTTTCATTCAGAAGTAGAATATACTGCCAAAATGGAAGCTTTTTAAACTTTATAGTCGTCTCCTCTTGATCAGACAGAATTTATGGCTACATTGTCCTTGTTGTGATTATTGGTGGACTTCTTTTAAGCCTTCCATGCTTGTGTCAGCATATTTTTGCTGATACAAGCATGGAAATTGATTTTTAATGAAAATTTTAAAATTGATTGCAATGCCCTTCTTGCATACCCTATAAATTCCTAGCTTTTCTATGTTCCAAATGTCTGCTCAATTTTTTCAGCAATATAATAGAGAGGCTTGGTCAAAGAGTGGATGTACACCATCCAATGCAAATGTTATTGATACTATAAATATTTGTTTCTTTTAACGGAGTATTGGTGTTCCTTTATGCATTGATATGAATTCCTCAAGGTAAGTTAGCTCCAATATAACATAAGCTTTGGCTTGTTTTATCATCTATTATGAGTATCGAATAAACCCCTGAAAGGTCAAATTTATTAGTTGCATCGTTTTTTGTTACTGATGAGGTTGTAAACTACTTTTAAATGCCAAAGAGATATTGTTGGCCTTGGCAATCTTACACGCCATCTAGGAAATCACCTAGGCCAGTAACCTTTCAGAGGGTATATACAATAAACAGAGAAGTGTAAACATTCACTGTTTATACTGTAAACAATGAATGTTTACACTTCTCTGTTTATTGTTATTTTAGCAGTGTCTTTTTTTCAGTTTAATCTTTTTCTCTAGACACTGAAGTTTGTTTAATAACTGAAAATATTTGTTTAAATTTTCTGTTATAATTTCAATTAAAGCAATTGTTTACATATATATTGTGAATGTTCTTAGTAAAAAATATAAAAATTTCTTTAAACAATAACACTTTATACTATAATAATAAGTTTTTTCTAACAATTTAATCTATCTGAATTATTTTTTATCCTGTTTTTCATGAATAATATGAATTACAGTTTTCATGTACAAAAAGAATTGTGGCTAGATCTCTATGCTTGAATTAATTAAATCATTTGTTAGTTATATCCGTTGCTAAACAGTTTTTAAATTTAAGATCTTATGGGTCAATTGTTCTTTTAAGCTGTTAATTTTATAGTTTTCTGATTAAAAGCAGATCTGTACAACAGTGATTCAAAAATTTATGACGAAAAACTGTTATTGGTTGATATTTGTAAATAATTTGTGAAATTATATTACAATGAAATAGATAATTAGAAATATTTTTATGATAGTAAATATTAGATCCATGTTTAACACTATTATTAGTAGCGTATTCAAATTTTTTCTTATGCATTTATTCGTAAATATTGTATGTACTTTTCAGGAAATCGAGGAAAAGTTAAACTGCATGAACTTCTTGCAAGTTTGAAAAAAACACCAAGTCATGCAGCTATTAAAAAACAGTTAGGTGCAACTATTAGGCGACGTAAAATTCTTAATGTACCTTTGGAAACTGAAGAAGCATTAAAGGTATTGTATTTTACTATGAATATCTAAATATTTGACATTTAAAGCCTTTCTAATTTTCTGTGAAAGAACTTAAATTTTCTAATATATTTATGTAATTATGGTTTTTAATAATATACCTTAGTATAATAATTAATAATTGTCAATTTTATTTGTTTTCATTTTAATTTATATGATAAATGTGGTAATATCAACAGAACATTAAAATTGCATTTTCTTAATCGACATACTTAATAACTTTGTTAGAAATTTCCAATAAAATTATTAATACTTAATGCGTAATCTATGTAAATTAAATGAGTACAATGTCTCATCACCAGCCACATTATTTATCAAGAATTTTTTATCTTAATTTTCATTTACCATTCTATTACGTTGTTCGGAAAGTAAGTTCACTTTTTTACCACTAGACGGATTAGTCATATTTTTCCTGCCATTTTCATTCTAAACTGTATTATCATTTATATTTTGACAGCTAGCATTTTAAGGCTTATTTGTAAAAAATTTTGTTTTATTCTGTGCAATTGTTTATTTTTTGTGTCCCATCAAACATGGAAGATTGAAAGCATCATTTTTGGCATATTTTGCTTTTTTATTACCAAAAAATCAAAATGCTGTTCAAGCAAGAAAAAAATTGTGGTTCATGTATGAAGATGATGTGCTGAGAGAAAGACAGTGCCAAAACTGGTTTACAAAGTTTTGTTCTGGCAATTTCAATATTGAAGATGCACCACGTTCTGGATGGCCAGTTGAAGCCAATGAAAACAAAATAAAAGTACCGATTGAAGCAAACTGCCGAATAACAACACGTGAAATCACTAAGAGATTAAATTTGTCAAATTGAATTGTTTATGATTACTTGAAACAAATTGGTTTTGTTTCAAAGCTTGATATATGGGTTCCACATGTTTTTAAAGAGAGATGCTCTCTTTGGTGGGATTTTAAGGAAATTTTTTTTTTTGGAGCTTTTACCGGACAATTTAACAATTGATTCGAAAGTATACTGATATCGAGTAAACAAATTGAGTAATATCATCAAACAGAAAAGGCAGCCAGAATTGATCGACAAAACAGGTGTAGTGTTTTATCACGATAATGTCAAATTTCACACAAGTTTGGTAACTAGTCAGAAACTGTTATAACTTAGATGGGATGTGCTATCACACCAACCATATTCTCCAGATTGAGCACACTCAGATTATTACTTGTTCCGGTCTATACAAATTTTTTTTAACTGTAAGACATACGATGTCAAAAATCACTTGGATCAATTTTTTGTAAGCAACAATCAAAATTTTTATGAATGTTAAATCATGTTACTATCAGAAACAATAACAACAGGCATTTGACCAAAATGGTTGATATATAATTCAATAAAATATTTATTTATTATAAAAATACTGTGTTTTTCCACAGAGAAAAATGAACTTACTTTCTGAACAAGCCAATAAATCATCTGATTACAATGTTGAATTTTTTTCTCTCTTGTTAGTCCTCACCATTAGATTTATCTTATTTCAGATCTTTATTTACATCTATCATTTATTTATTTAAAATGAATAAATTGAAGTATTTTTATCATTTAAATTCGTATAATATTGTCAGGAAAGTTTGAATTATATCAAAGAATATTTTTGATAATTTCATTTATTATATTGTAATTTATCTTATGATTTAAAAAACTTTATCATTTTTATATAATTTTTTATAAATATGAATAAAATTATTTCAGATAAAAAGAAAAGTTGCTTATGACAAAGTCAGCAAAGAAGTATCACTGTGGGATGATATAGTGCAAGCCAATAGAGTTGTAAGTTGATTAATATTATTATTTGTATATCTATTTATTTTAGTTTATATAATTTAGCTGGCAAAGCTTGAAATGTTACTCACACTTATTAATACTGGAGTTTAGTTTATCAAACTTCAATATAGTGCTACCCTCATAAACTGTGATGAATAATCATTTTCACTATAGATATTGAATAGTGAATCCTTTGATCAAGTATCAAACTCATAGTCACCTTTAATTAAACTATTCTTAGTTATTAAATATATAATAATTTTATCACTTAATATAATCAGTTAATTATAATTTAAACTTAAAATTTGTCCTTAATAAATTTGAGCTAAAGGCTCATAAGGAATATGTTTAAAATTAAGGATATAATTATTGGAATTATATTAAAAACTAGTAAATTTATTCAAAATGGTGTCTTCATTCTATTATATAAGTTGATTAAATTTGCTAAAATGCTTAAGAAAGGAAGTATTCATAAAAACTTCCATTCTTTTTATTAATAATAGGAAGTATTATTAATATTTCCTATTTTTAATAAAAGAAATTAAGGTTTATTTAAGTACTTCCTTTCTAAACTATCTAAACAAATATAATTTGTAATGCATAATATAAGCAACATAACATATTTTCTTAATTTAATTCTTTTATTTGAATATTTAAAATAATTTCCATGGACTTTATATGTAATTAAGTCACATTTATAAATTGTTAAGTTGCTAAAGCAATAATTAATTTTTTAAATGTAATTACAGTACATTAATTATTAAGTCTGAATACAAGAAAGAATAAAAAAATAAAAATTAGTACTGATTAGAATATAAAATAAGATTCTCTACAACCAATAACCGGTGTGAAGTATGGCTAAGCAATAAAAAAACAAATGTTTTCATAATCCCTTCTGGGTTCTTCCTCAGGTTTTCTTAATTCTAAATAAGCTAGATCTTCCAATTTCATTCGAAGAAGGGATTATGAAAATGTTTGTTTTTTTATTGCTTAGCCGTACTTTGCACCAGTTATTGGTTGTAGAGAGTCTTATTTTATCATTATCCCACTGTGGTATGCAGATGTGATTAGAATATTACACATGTCCAAAACTTAAGGATGAACACAATTGCAAGTGGTGATATCTTGGTGACAAGCCAGCCACAATGTTGCGAGTTCTGTATTGCTGTTAGAAGTGAGCATATTTCATATTGATGGATCTCTCCACCTGAGTATTGTTAAGCAGTTTCCATCCATTCTCCACCTACATCCTACTGCCACACACATCTTGTTCACCAAAGACACTTTTATTTCTTTAATTTGTAAAATCCTACAAGTTGTTGCTTAATATCCTGTGTTAGACATTGAATAATATAGTTCTGGCTATATTTGTTTGTAATTCTATCTATTTCTGTACAAATTTTGTTCATCCTGAAGTTTTGGACACATTTAGGTATACACTTACATTTAAAATTTTATAATATAAAGACTAAATAATGACTTTGCTAGTCAAAAAGTAATTAAATATAGTAAATAAAACAAATCAAATTAAAGCTGGATTTATTATTGGTTTATAATTTGGATTAAAGGTAATGATTAAGTTGCCATTTTTTATTAAATTAATTATTTTCTATTATTGTGGAAGAAAAGATTGATCCAAGTAGGATTTAAACTCGCAATTCCCACTTATTGTGTGATTGCATTGCCACTAATAATCTGATAACAAATCTGGCTTGTTATTTGACTAGTAATATAATTTGGTCTTGGCTTTTTATATAATTTTAGTAAATAAGACAATGCCGCTAATAAAATTTAAGGAGCCAAAATGTCTATATGTTTAAATTTGTTTTTTTCTATATCAATAACGTGTTGTTAAAGTTTTGAATCATCTTGGATTATTTAGAAATTATTTTAAATTATATTAAACTATAGTTATTCTATATTTTACATTTGAATTGTTGATGTCATTTTTAAGATCTGATGTTTAAATTTCAAAAGTAAGATGATAATTAAGTGAGAAGTTTAACAAAATTTGGATCTTGGTGGAGAAATCTTACTACATCTGAACTGTTTTTATTCAGAAAGTAATGTTAAAAGTATCTGTTTATTCTCAGAATATTGTGAATATAATAAAAGAAAAAGCTTTATATAGTTTTCCATAAAATGGAAATTGTTGTGCTAATAGTAATTTACAATGTAAGCCATTTTCCAGATATTAAATTAAAAGAAAAAGCAACAAAACAAGTTTAAATTCAAATACTTTAAGGAATATAGTTGTTAAAGAATTACAGAAAAATCATTTTAAATATATTCTTAGGTCCACCAGTGGCCAAGCAGTTCCATTCTGTAAACACTGGGAGTTCGTGTCTGGCCAGACCAGAAAACCCATGAAGAAAACCCGGAAAACTCCATGTGGCCAGATGGGTTGGCCACGCGGAGTTTTCCAGGTTTTCTCCATGTCTGAATAGGGACCAGTTACTCTTAAAAAGACCTCCCAAAAGGCATTCCCCTAAGCAGATTGCCCAGGTGTTGCGTTGCCATAACTTACCAAAATATATTGCTGATAATGGTTGTAAGTTAATTGTACAGATGACTGGATGGCTGATGCAGTTAAAGCATCAGCCTACTGTTTTGGGGACCCAGGATGTAGTAAAATTTAGCAAACTTGGGAATATTGAAAAACTCTGGAAATTTTTCAGAGGTGGTCTGTCCCAGATACATCACACCAACCAGCTGCCCCATTGTGGGCCCTTATGAGAATGATTAAAAGGCCATGTTAGTGCCCATTTGGTGAAACAGACAAGTGGAAAAAAAAAAACTTATTGTAAATTGTCTAGAATAGGTTATCTGAAAAATGAGTTATATTATATATAATACATGTTAAATTAAAGTCAAATTTATAATAAATGACAAATTTTCTAAAAACTTGCATTAAATTTAGGCAGAACAAATCGAATTTCCACTTCAAAGACCAGACGTCAGTATTCGTCCCGCCTCAGAATACATAAAAAAATTCAAGGTAATATCACAATTTAGCATTTAAATAAACATTCTAGAGAAAGTAATAATGAAATTAGTAGTAACAGATTTTAAAAAGTTTATTTTTAATAGCCTAAAACACCTATGGAAATTGAGATTAATAATGTACTGAATGCAAATAGCGATATTCTGATGGAAGATAAATCTAATTTAGCATCTCTTGACGAGGAAGAAATGCAAGCGTTGAATGTGCAAGAAGTGAGATTGTGTTAAAATTTACGACAACTAATTTTAATTTCCAGATTTATATGTTTATAATTAAATATTTAGGTAAAAAAGTCTTTAAGAGAGATACAGAGAGCAAGAGCCTTGTTATCTTATGCACAATCAAAAAATCGAAGACAAAATAAAATCAAAAGTAAAAAGTAAATATTCTAAATTCCTTAATTGATATTTATGTAATAATATGTTTTTGTAATTAATTATTTCTTTTTGTTATATTTTTCATAAAGATATCATCGAATTTTGAAGAAGGAAAGGCTACAAAAAGAAATGAAAGAATTTGAAAAATTGAAACTAGAATCGCCTGCCAAAGCTGCAGAGAAATTAAAAGAACTCGAGAAACTTCGAATTTTAGTAAGTTAACATTTTCTTAAAGTTAATAGACGATGTCTTTCCAGAAGTCTTATACTGTAATTTAATTTAATTTTATACAAGCAATTCTTATCTTTGGAATAATTGAATGTTAATTTCCACATTTTTGTTAGTTTTTAATTCAGCTTAACAGACATTACTTTTAATTCAGATCTAGTTTTTAGTCTTCTTCTATGCATTTGATATTCTCATCAGCTATGATTAAGGATTTATTTTCATATAAATTTTTTCTTGATCTTCTTCTCTTCTTTCATTCAGTATATAGTATATAATTCAGATTTATGACTCCTAATGAAGTAGATAACATTCTAAATTAATTAAATGATAACACCAGATTCATCAGGCTATAAAGTTGACTAATTAAATATATTGAAGTAATGTAATTTGAACTGAAGGTAGATGATTAATGGTTGTCGTCTCGTGTTAAATTTAATAATTAGAATTAAATTAATTACTTTAGAGTTTAGACCATTCTGGAAGTAATGATTGATCTAGAGTGGGATTCAAACCCACTAATTCTGCTTATACTGTGCAGATTCACTTACCAATTACACTATCTGAATCTCCTCATCTGGTAGTAAAATTTGAACAGAGGTCCAAGCAACCTAATTGGCAACATATTTGCTTATTTATCAGGTGTTGTGGGTTTGAGTCTTGTTCCAAATCAATCTTTTCTTTCAGAATATTCAAATTATTAAATTTAATAAAAGATGATGACTTAATTGCCTATGTTCAGTCCAAATTACTGTATATATTTAATTAGCCAAGCTATGAATCTTGATTATGAATTAATTTTTACTCGCTGTAGATTTGTGTACATAAATTTTTAAAATATATATGCATTAATTAAAATTAAGATGCATGTTGTTATTTTTCCAATGAAGTGAACTGAATCTTGAACAATAGACATGTCCTTAAAAGAATCTCTAAAAATGTCTGGTTAACTCTATTATTTATTATTAAAATTATATTTCTGATAGACTGGTAACTTTACATCAAATTTATTTTTATTATTAATTATGATGAAGTTCAATAGAAAAATCATTCTGAGAGTTGTCCAAAATCTGTTTTTAAAACAAACTTATAATTTGTGTTTCTAGACTTGAAATTTGATTTAAATTGACAATTATTTACACTTAAATTGACAAGAATTAGCAGAAAATAGATTAAAGTTCTCATTGCATATTATGTAGTTAATTATTGACACTTTAGATAAATAAAAAGAGATTGAAATGTAATTTTAATTTCACTTTTTATGATTGGGCTGCAATTTTCCAATTGTACATCTATTTATTCCTACTGTCATCCATCCATCCATTTTCAAATGTAAACATTGATTAACCCAATCTTAATGCCAAGTGACTGCCACATTATATCAGGCTTCTGTTTTAAATTAATACTGTAATTAAATTTATCAAAAGATGATACCTAATGGCTACCTTTAGGCAAAAATACTAAACATTTAGTTATTAATAGTAACAGTAATAGAGATCAATATAATCTGGCAATTGTTTGATGTTAATCTTGAATTTTTCAACAACTTACTATATAGTAAATCACATGTAAATCACATATAAAGAAAATGCATTAATAAACTTTGCCATTACAAGTTGTTTACTAAACTTGAATATTTATTAAGGTTCAAAAGACAGCTTTCCAGTATTGTATGAATATATGCTTGTGGTGCATTAGTTCCACTGCAATGTTTACAGTAAAATAAATAAATTTGTTTAGAAAAGAACATGTGCAAATTGCACAGTAGTTCTAAGGTAATTACTAAATTATCCCACCTCTCCCAAGCACAATGAAAATGGAAATGGAAGGAAATCATTTAAAAAATATTTAGCATAATGTAAAAAGAACCTCTAATTCTAAAGAGTAAGAACCAACAATTTTATGATTAATACAAAAACAGTTAGCTTTATTTTTTAGTAGTACACGTTCAAAACAACTGCCTTTAGTGGCAATACAAAGGTGTAGACATTTGAGAGTGGCACTGTAGACCTGGTGTCACTCTCCTGCATGTCTCTCATATTCACCACTCAAGTTTGTAAACATTATGTAGGACTGCTTGATATGCATCATATACTGATGCTTATAGGTGCCCCACAGAAAAAGTCTGGTAGGGTCAAGTCTGAGAAATATGTGGCTATGGAACAGGGCTCGGAGCAATTCGACAACCAATGGATATTGGTTGTTGAATTGCTCCGAGCTATTGATGCATATCTGCCCATGAATGAGCTAGCAAGCTGTCCAGCCATTCATTCACCAGTAGAGGATATTAAGATAGCTGTTGCCAATCAGGGTACAAGATACAAGACCAAGAAGCTATCACCTTAAATGCCACACCAGATATTTAGTATAAAACATACATAGTGTCATGTATTTCATTTACATTGTGGAGTGGTGCACATTATAGCACTTATTACACACACACATACTGAGAAAAAGTGCCTTGTCAGTCCATATATTGTACTCAGGCAATTGTGGTTTGACCTGGTATAAATTTAGCATTATTTTGTACCAGTGTAATCACTGTACATTATCCCCTGCATGTTGTGCCAGTTGCACATAACAATTGAATGAGTATATGTCACTTCAACATAAAATTTGGTGTACTTGTGTCTGTTGTAGTCCACTTCATCTTGCTGTTTCACATATGCTGTTATCTGGATGTACAGAAGTATGACAATGCTTTGACATTACAAAGATTTGGATGACCTGGACCTATGACCGCTGACTGTGCATCAAGAGACTTTACATTAATAATTGTCATATGTGTATAGTTTTATCAACAAAAGTGGTAGTTGTCAAACCAGGCTAAACCATTTTTCAATCAGTTGTAGAGAGAGACCACTTCATTAGTTGTAAATAGTTAATAGCCCCTAAAACATTGGATACCTCTTTCTTCTTTATGAATAGTTTAAAAGTTGTTTAGTTGGTTTGACAACTGCCAACTTATATTGGAAGGATTATAGGTCTTAGTGTGACTGGAAAATGCTCATAGAATCTACATACTGCTTCTCATGCAATTTTTTTCATTTTATCACAAAGAATAATCATTTCATAGTAGTATTTGTGAGTACAGTCGACCCCCCCCTATAAGATCATAGATACGTTCCATTCTTTAGGAATCCGATTTCTTACAAGTCCTTCCAATCACAGCCCGACACGTGTGAAGTTTACAGATTACGGCTGATTGACAGGTTTTCTTCCATAAAATTAATTGATTCTAGACTAATCCGACTCAACATTTAATTGATTCTAGACTAATCCGACAATTAATCAATTAATTGTACAGACGATAGTTAGCGTAAAATCTCCATAGCGTGGCGCCACGTGGCAGAAAAAATATATATAATTATAATAAAGTTACAATAAATTAAGTTAATATATAATTATATATACAGTACCTAATTTATATATAATTTATATATAATTATATGTACGGATGAAACTAAACTCAATTTAGCTGCCTAAATGTCCGTAGCGTGGCGCTACAGACGGTGGGAAAGTAGTTCGGCTGCCCGATGACATTTTACGTAATTATAGGAGTTTTTTACCTTTTTTACGGATACCGTCACAATTTTTTCACAGTTTTATAGGAATCGTAATTATAGGGGGTCTACTGTATAAGTCACTGCCACAGTGCTCTACCAATTAGAAGAGTGCATGATATTGGCTCCAACAGGGATGTTGAAAATGTCTGATACTATATGATCTGTCAGGAATGAATTTTAATTTGCATTTTCTTTGTACATTTGGAAAATTTACACATTGCCACAGAACTAAGTGCAATTTACACATGTCCTTTTCTGAATGAATGAATTATTGTAAATATCATTTGAGAAAAAATAATAATACAGTATCTTATAAAGATGCCTAGTAAAGTCCTTATAAACTGACATATGAGCAACATACAACATACAAAAATGAATGAGAGAACACATGATAAATACATATTACTGTCTGTGCTTGATATGCACATTAATGTTTCATATATTCTATTTATACTATTTAAGTATACAGGGTGTCCTTTTGTACGAAATCAGTTGTGCTCTTTGACTTTGTAATTGACTTTTTTTCTGTACTGTGTATCATTTTTGAAATAGGAGTGCCAACTTCTAAATTTTATCACTAAGGTGCTGCAAGTGATCTTATCTCGTAGCACATAGTCACTTAACTATAACATTCATAACCGTAGCTTGCTGCACATATCAGTTATGTAATATGTATAGTGTATTCTGTGTATATATTGTATGAAAGTAGCAGTCTCGTCAATAAGCATTTTCTACATATATATATAGAAAATATATTATATAACATCATAAATAACAAAATTATGTGACAATAATTTCTGAAAACTTAGTTACAGTACTTTATTGATAATTTCATTTACATTAAATCAATCATTGTTTAAATAAAAATATGTAAAATTTTGTAACTTGTGTATTTATTTTTATGGATAGTTAAAGCTTAAAAAAGGAGATTTACAAAATTAGAATGCAAGACAATAAAAATGTTGAATACAGTTATTGATTTAACTTTGCAATAAACAAATAACAATGCACAAAGTATGCTACTGGCTTTTCTAGCATGAGTTTGTTGATTACATATTCATAACATCATCAAAAAATTGAGTGGCAATCCACCATGCAGAGTATATTACTAGAATTAATTACGTTTGTACATCATTATAATTATTTATTGATATTACTTTAAATAAATTAACTTAAATATTTCAGTTAAGAGAAGTAATATTATATAATTTAAATTATTTATTAATTTCAGTTATTTTTTATTTATAGGAAAGAATGACGTTAAAACACAAAAGTACTGGAAAGTGGGCTAAACATAAAATGTTAAGAGCGAAATATGACAAAGAGGTAAATCTTATAGATAAATTTTTTATTTGATGATCATTATCAATATATTTTACCAAGCAAACTTTTATGAAGTGAACTTAAATATTTAAACAAATATCAATCATTATTAAAAATATACTGATCAAGAACTTTTGAACTAGCCAAATAATTTTTTCCTAGTACTTTCTGCTCTATATATACTAAGAAATCTTTTATAATAAGTCCATTATAATTTTGCCAGGCTTGAAGTGAGTCAGTTCTATGCCAAGAACAAGATCCGTCATATTTGGATCAGGCTATCCATGATAATTTCTGAAAGTCAAACTCACATTGTTGAATTTAGAATATACTGTTACCTTTAACTTATACTTAAGATCGTTGTGTACCAAGCCAAGGATGTGGAATTACCTATAATCACGTTGTTCAGAGTCCAATTGATATCTTTATGCTTTAATTATCCAATACCCAGCCAACCCCTATAACACTGTTGATTATTTCGTTTTATATGAATTCCATGTTTTACGAGTCACTTAGATTTTACAAATATGCAAGCCGTTCACAGCCGGGCACATGTATTTGTAAAATCTAAGTGACTCGTACAACATGGAATTTATATAAAATGGAATAATCAACAGTGTTGTAGGGAGTCAACTGTACATCTGAATAATTAGTATTTGTGTAACTTATATAGTCATTTTTCTCTTCTAAATGTTTTCAGAGTTAAGTAAAATTGTGAAATAAAAAATTAGCATTACGTAAAATGTACTAATTTCATAAAAATTTGTTTTTCAAAAGACCAAACAAGTAACAAATAATTATATAGTAAACCAGTCCTGAATTATATATTAATAATCAAACGATAATGCCAAATTCATCAGGCCATAACTTGGCTAATTAAATATATAGATATTTAATAAGCTAACTTATGGCTTGATGGATTCAGCATTATCATTTGACTCTAAATAAATAAGTTACAAATAATTTTGAAATTTATATAAATTGTTCATACTTTTGCAGAAGAAAATATTCAACAAAATTTAATCATTTTTATTATTAAAATTAAGAAAAACAAAGTTCATATTATTTTAATTCAATTAAATACACGTTTTTAATTGATTTTTTAATGATTCTTTATGGAAAGAAAATGATATACCCATTGTAATAGTGCTAAAACTATTGCCTTAAAAGAATGAGACAGTGTTTCAATAACATTTTCTTTGAAATAAGAAATTACTATTTAATGGCATTTCAACATTACCTTATTTAAATTATTCAAATCACAGCCAATCTTGTTCTTCATCTAAGTTTAAATCTTTTATTTTATGATGTAACAATCTGCTGCTTGGGTGACCAATTTCAAGTACTGAACAGAATATCAGACATGTTTGTGGGGAGTTTATTAAACTGTATACATCAGGTTCTGTTCTTTGCCATCTGGCTACCTTCATTTTAAAATTAATTGTTACCATAATAGAAATGAAGAACTGCTCTCTTACTTCCCACAGGGTGGATAGATTTTAAAAAGAAAAATCTTTACTATTTCCTTGATATAATATGTTTAATAAACATGATTGAACAATTCAAGATCATTTTAAATCTGTTGCATAAATAGTTTTTTTATCTTCCAGAGTAGAGATGAAATATCTGCACAGCTAGAATTAGGTCGGCAACTTACTCAAAAAGTAATTACAAATGAGGAAAGTGATGATGACAATGACGACGAAGCTGATGGTGATCCAAAATTATCATTCAGTGTAAATAAAACTGAAAATGACAAAGCATTAAATGATTATAAAGAATCTATGAATCTACTTAAAAATCCTATAGAGTGTATAAGTGCAGATGAAGTTAATAAAGGTTATATCAAAAGAGCAAAACAAGTTTCTATAAAAGAAATTATCAAGCGGGATGCAGAAGAAAATTGTAGTGACACTGATGAAAATGAAGAATCATTAATTGATGAGACTTTAGTCAGAAAGACAAAAATGGAAGATTTTAACAATATGGAAGAGATCCCTGTTGAAAGTAGTACAGAATGGTTCAAAACACCAAAAACTAAAATCAATTCAGATGTCAAACTGAAACAAAATAAAAGCGGTGAAAAAACATGCAACAAAAAGAAAAATGAAAATTCTTTTGTGGACAGTGAACTAAATGTAGTGGAATTGAAATCTCAAAAATCGCAGTTAGTCGAGTGTGAGGCCATCGATGAAGAAGAATTGGATGCTTTTTCTGATGGAGAGAACAAACAAGATTTAGCCGAATCTTATTGGGACTCCGAAATTATTAAAGAATTTGAGTAAGTGTAGTTTAAAATTATAATATTTTATATTCTAAATTTTTTCAATATTTTAGTATGAAAGTATATTTAGTACTTCATCTCTAGTGTTTTCATACAATTACTAAATTCTAAAACATTTTGCACACTTTTTTTTTATGAGAGAATGTAAAAGGAATATGACGTGATGTACTGTACTTGGAACCTTAAAAATTTCTGTATTCTTAATTTAGGTGCATAATTGCAAGTTATGCAAGAAGCAGCACAAATATACTGAGAATATTACATAATAGACTCTTGTTAAGTGACACTATCTTGAATGAGTTTATGCTAAATGACACACACAATATGCATATGTTCCTGTTTACCTAACTCAACACTAGACTCATACTGGACTCAACTACATAATTGTATCTTACAATAGCAATTTGATACCTTTAATACATTATTTTAATAAAACATATTTTAAATGCTGGAATGTTATAATATACATATCAGCATTTAAAACATATTAGTTTATTTGATTTTTGAATTCATATTTCAAATACAAAAATGCTGTAAGAATGTTACTTTGTTGCAACTCTCAGCTTAAATATTCAAATTATATCCCATTTAAAACCCAAGGAAAATCTCTAAAAGGGTCAAAAACTTTTGTTTTAACAAATTTTTTTTACTATTTGTAGTTACTAAGACTCTTTTCAAGAATTTGACCAGACTCATTGTAAGAAACAAGGCCAAATCACCTGTAAAAGTTTCCAAGTATCACACTTAGCAGATTTCTATACCATTTCAGCCATCTGACTGTCAGCTATAACTATATTAGTAGCCCGGGATGCCCCCAGTGGGCGTTCTTTACAAATTCCCATGAGGCACGGTTCCTTTGACATTTTTGTTTCTATCAGTGTTCTCTACAGCTCTGTTAAAGTCCCAAATGTGTCATATGGATATATATTTCTATCTATTAAACATTCTATAAAACTTTAAAATAGTTTAATTTGTTTATTTACCTTTGGTTGTAAACCTCGATTTTAAATGTATCCGCCATTTTTTCAACAAATTTCCCATGAGTCGATGCGCGATGTTCACTGACTTGTGAGTCACAGGATGTTGTAAATGTGCGGCGCAAGGTTAATCAAGGCATATAATAATTATTTATACCATTCCATGGTATAAATAATAAATTCCTATTACAAATAAAAATAATTTATTGTTAATTTAAAATCATCACTAGGGCGCCTCTAGTGCCCGTTTTTGGCATACCGTTACGCGGACGGATGGACGGACATGCGTTCAGTGGCTTATATAAATAGATATTTGTGTAACTTGAGTAATGTATTCAAATATGTTATTTACATCATCAAACTTTATACCATATGATATAAATTAATTTTTACCATTTATTCAACAAATTTAAAATGAAACCGTGCAAACATCAAATCTTAATCTCATAATTATAAATTATAGAATTAAGATGGGGTTAAATTATAATGTTTTATACTTTACAGAAATTAAATGAACTTTAAAAAGAAATGTATTTGGTTACTTCTTGGATTGGCTTCAATTTAAAAAAAATAACTTAAGTTTAAGTATATGTTAATACTTAGTTATTGTTTTTGGTTTAAGAGGCAGATATCATATCTGGTATGTTGAACAGTACCAGCCATCATAATATGGTGATTAAATGTATGTAAAGTGATACAGATTTTATCAACATATATCTAAATTGACTTATTGCAGGCCAGATGTCTGAGATGATAAAAACATCACCCTGCCACTATTATATTCAGGTTTGCGTCAACTCGACAATTATATATGTCGGATCTCTCCCTTGCCACCTAGCTACACACTAGGCCTGACTGAACCATGATAAGTATACCCTAATTTAAAGTCCTTCTCAGTACCCACGAGGCAGAAAAGGTTAAAAATGAGAGGAAAAGAAAAAGACTAACTGATATTGATTTATTGGCTTGTGAATTATTCATTCAGAGGATATTCTTATTTTCGTATGACTCAAATCATAATGTCAGATTTATTATTGGGCTACCTACATTTTGGCTAATTAAGTATATAAATGTTATGTAATTTGAACTAAAGGTAGGCAGTTAAGTTGCCATCTTGTATTAAATTTAATCAATAGAATTAAAAAAATTAGTTTAGAATATTGTGGAAGAAAAGAGCAATCTGGAGGAGTCCCGAACCCGCAACTTCCCCTTACCGTGCAAATATGTTTTCAATTATGTATCCAGATTGCCATCCAATCTTTACTTTCAAACTAATTAATTTAGAAGATACAATCCACACAGATCGTGTAACAACTGGGGATGACTATGCACCCATGGTCCTCAATGACACTCAGCTGACTTTAAGCTTTTATCCTGACATGGTGTGTTTATGTATGTGTATGTTGCCATCTGTTGTTTAAATTAGAAATTCCTCCAAGAGAATTATTAATTACACAAATAATAACTCTTTTAGATTGTTTGCCATTATCAGGTTCTATTAATAATTCAGTTTGATTTGCACATTGGCATGTTGACACAATTAAAATCAATCAAAATTCTTTTTATATATTAATATATAAATATATATTTNTTAATATATAAATATATATTTTTAAAATAAATGATAACTTATATTTCAAATTTCACATTTAGTCAAAATTACATAATTGATGACTTATCACTGGATATTAAATGTTATTTTATGATTTATTAGTATAAAAATTGGCAAAAATCTTAAAAGCGGTAATCCCATTCATCTGTAAAAGTCCGTTCTGAAATTTTTAATATTTAAATTAATTCCAGTAATTCTAATAAAATTATACAGTCGACGTTCTATTTTAAATTTTCTGTAAGAAAACGTTGATATTTTAATTACCACATGACACTTATGATGAATCAGATACGGAACTCATTAATTGTGACGTGAAAGTTGATGACCAATAATTTGATCCAGTTTGGTCATGCAAGCTATTATGTCGACCTTTTTTCTCCCCTGCCTTCTTTCTTTTCCTTACCTTCCCTCTGCTATTGATAAAAGACCTTTCTAAAATATATTTCTTTGTTATATTTCTATTATCAGAGTTGAAGCTCTGATCGTGGTTATGAATATGTCAATTAAAATAAGATTGCGACGTCATTTCTATAAAGTATTTAAGACACGACTCTTTTATTTCTTATTTTTCTTAATTAAAAAAATAAATACAAGCTCTGACACTTAATATAAATTAATTAGTTATTTCAAATTACTCTTGTAATAATTATTGTTAATTGAGTTTGAAAATTTATTAATGTAATGAAAATATGTCTCAACCAGATTTTATCCAATTATTATAATGTAAATTGGTTGGGAAAAAATCTCATTAATTTTTTTATTTTTATTTTACAGAGCAGAAAAGTCTGCTGCTATAGAAAAGGATAAACCAAAGGACGTAGATACATTTTTACCAGGTTGGGGCAACTGGGGAGGAAGCGGAATTAAAGTCCCCAAGAAGAGAAGAAGACGGTAAAACATCAGGTTTATTTTTTCTTTTAAAATTTTATGGGTCTTAAGTTTTCTTATGGTAAAATCTACTTACAGTTTTATCATCAAAGCACCCCCTGCGCCTCCTCGAAAAGACAGCACTTTAGGAAATGTCATCATTAACGAGAAACATAATGAGAAAATAAAACAGTTTCAGGTTAATTGAAGTTTATTTTAATTGAATTATTTCTTGAAATATCAATATTAAATTTTCATTAATGTTCTGTTTATTAGGTTAACGAAATTCCCTTTCCATTCTCGAGCGTTCAGCAATTTGAGAGCACTCTTCGACAACCCATCGGCAGAACTTGGAATCCGGAAACAGCATTTCAGAGGGCTGTAGCCCCAAAAATCGTAACCAAAATGGGACAGATAATAGATCCCATCGATTCCGATGCCCTTTTGAAAAAATTACAAGAGGACAGAATTAAAGAAGGATTTAAAAAACCAAATAAAGAAGGATTCACAAAACCAAATAAAAGAAAGGCAGTTGTTACTAAACAAAATAATAAAAAGAAAAAATTAAACAAGAAAATACAAAATGGTGTAAAAAAATAACAACTGTATATAATGTGATATTTAATAATAAAATTATTTTCAATTAAAGTTAGTAGTTTATATGATCAAATTTATTTTGATTAATTTGCTTTATTCATTACAATATTTGAATTTTTATATATTGTAATTTTAAGTAAGAGTGAATATACAGTTAAAATCACAGCTGTTTTTTATTGTATCAATGCTTCTGTAAAGATTAATTTAAATTTTAATTGCCAAATACAGAGTGTTTTAACAAAATGCCAACACTTAGATGGAGAAGGTGTGCTGCAATGGTAGCAGGGTCATTCTGTTTTGAGAACTCTGCAATCTTGGGTTGTGACTTCTTGCACACAATGCAGAACTACACAGAAGACAACCTACACTACATATCTAACATAAACCAAACTTCTAACACTACCAAGTGTTTTAATGTGTTCAGTGAAATATCCTCTACTTTGAAAACAAGTTCTGAGCCAAGGATAGTCAAATATTTGATTGAACACATTAAAACACTGGTAATGTTAGAAGTGATGGCTACCTGAACTAAGCAGTGACTTGATTTATTTATTTAGCTATATATTTAAGATTTTAAATAGTAAAATTGTTTACAAGTTTGTAAATAATAATTTTATGTAACAATTCAGAATTACAGTTTGATTCTTTATGCTGGAAGATTTAACATCTTAGAACAGAGCCTTTGATTCAAGAAATAGTTCTCTAGTCACCTGCAATATCTTTAGGTTCAAATATGGCTACATCAATAAATATTTATAAAATTTCTTAAAGACTTATTCAGAATTCAGGTTTATTAACTGCTAAAGATTTGAAAGAAACAAATAAAAACAGTGATATAATATTCTAATGATTGGGAAAAATATATGAAAGCAATAACCAAGCTAATAATACAATTTACAGATACAGAAAAGAGAGCTTTAAAGATTAAAGACATAATAGGGGGACTTATTGAATGAATCCCATGCATTAACACATGTTAATGCTTGCAATTCTTTCAAACTGAAAGGTCATTTAATATAGGGAAGATCCATTCACGAGTATTCATTAGCACTTTATGAGAGTGGCTCTATATCGAGGTTTGTATAGCTTAAAGAGCAGAATCGTTATCATCAGTTCTGTAGTCATAAACTCAGCAGTGGGGGGAAAAGGTGTTTTTATTTTTTCTGAAAATCTAAAATTTGTATTAGGAGAAAACAAGTAAGAACCTGTAAAAAATGAAGGCTTTTGTTTGGTTATTTGAAATAAACAATTACTCTTTAATTTTATTCATTTTCTTTGGATTTATTATAGTATACTAAGTAGTTACTATATACTAAAATTCGTATAAGCCAAGATTATATGGCGCATCCCGCTGTCAGTGCTGGATTTTTAATCATCACTGCAAATAGAGGACACTTTTTTCTTTATACTGTAAATTTTTATGTAAGTCGTAGCCTACAATAAAGGGTCGATTTACATTATGTTTGTAGGATTTCTTTGCCCTTTCGAGGGAGCGTGCACTAAACTCCTACAAACACCCGAGGACACTTGTGTGGGAATTTTTTGCGATCGTCTACAATCACTTCCCAGGCAATGGCAATTACTAAGGGATAGAAAATAGAATTTGTGGCCTGAGACATTGTTGGAGTGATAGTTTTTTTTTGTAGGTTGTATGCACATCTGTAGAAATCTGGCCATTATTGGAGGAATGTATTTACAAATCAATACTTAAGGTACTTCTCTGCATTGTTTATACAGTAAGATTTTGCAAACATTTAACATTTTAGATTTAAAATTTTAACAGAAATTTTATATAACCCAATAGATTTTTTTTTCTAAATCAAGATTTAGATGTCCTCCTTTTTTTTGAATTAATTAAATCAATTATTAAATATATATCACATGAAAAAAATGAAAGAAAAAAAAAAACACAAAATTCAAAATGTTTTATTCATTGCACAGGTATACAGTGAAATGTGATAGTACTGGCAGCATTTCTGTGAATAATCCCTGAATCTGTACATGGTGCATGAAAGGAGATCACTCACTACCACTAAAACACAGTGTAAGTGATACAGTACAATAATTTATGAGTATGTCAAAGAACAGTTAAGAACATCTGCTATCAAAAAATAAAATAATGGGTTTGCAACGTATAAAAAGAAACAACCCGATTTTTTTTTATATGTAGTTTTTACAATACATTACATTACAGAAACTTCTGTTTCTACATACAATACATCTTAACGCTACTTTATGAACACAATTTTCACAGAAACAAGTTTTGAAAATTGGAAAAATGTAATACTACAGCAACAAGAATTGTATTTTTAATTTTATTATTTTTTTTGACTAGCCTGACCGACTACCCTGTGCCTCTAATGAGTAGTCCTTAATAAAAAAAAAAAAAAACAAAAAAAATGATATTTACAAGCAGCCCTGTATTTTGAGCTTTGTTTTCTGTTGTTTTTTTATTTTATTTTATTTATTTATTCCAGAGCAACATAGATGGTCCCAGAGATACATGGAAGCAGCACTTAACTGGATCAATCTGCATTTATTTTATTTATTTATTTGTGCGTCACTCTTTGGGATCTTCTACTTCATAACTCACTGGCCGTAGTATCACTTAAACAATTTATTTGTTTACGGATTCCAGCAGCTGAATATCAAAATTCAGGGCCGGCGCTAAACCATACTCAATACAAATGGATCGCCTTAGGCGTGTGTGTGTGTGTGAATACTTTAATACAATTAATCCGGCTCAGTTACATTAAAAACCGGAGTTTTGTAGTTTCTCCACCAAAAATTATCACAAAAATGGAATTTTTTTTTTTTAAAAAAAGGAGTTTTTTTTTTAGTCCGAATTTTAGTTTAAAATACAAATTGCACCGATATAAATAATCAGTTATGATTTAAAAAAAAAACAATAATATGATAACATATTCCGGACTATCTTTGGTTTTTTAGCAGAAACTGTACAAATAAATGATAATTAAATAAGTTATTATTGTGCACAAATTATTAAACACAATTAAGCACATTTAATACATTACTTTTGTATGCAGATAAGTAATAAAAGAGAAATGTTCTTGACTCAAACACCGTCTAAATTTAATGTTTTTTTCTTCTTCATTTTTTTTCTTTTTTTTTACAGGAACTATCACATATAACGCGCCATTTTATTGTTATTTTTTTTTTTTTTTGAGAATCAACACTTTGCTGCTTCTGTTTCTCTGTTGTACAGGAACTGTTTTTTTTTTTAATGTTATTTAGCGAAGTGTCGATTTGTTTGTTGATTGATCTTTGTNTTTGAGAATCAACACTTTGCTGCTTCTGTTTCTCTGTTGTACAGGAACTGTTTTTTTTTTTTTAATGTTATTTAGCGAAGTGTCGATTTGTTTGTTGATTGATCTTTGTACATCGTTCTGGATGTTAATCATGATTCAGTAATGTGTTGGTGACTTCAGAGATGGAGAGTAGTGGGTTTCCTTCCTGTTTCACAGAAGGATGAAGACCATTCTCTATGTTGCCCAAAACCAGCTAGAAAAAGTAAAAAAAATAAATAAATAAAAATTAGTATAAGTCGCTGATACTATTTACAAAATTCTGATACTGTTTTCCAGTTGGAATGCCTCGAAAAAAAAAAATAATAATAAATATATTCATATAAAAATTTGAAATTTTAGACTAAGTTTAAGCACACAAACATGGCGGCTTAACGAAGTACGGAGTGGTTTTGTGTTTATTATAATACATTTTTATATACAGTAATTTAAATTTTGGCGTTATTAACTTGTCTTAATTACAAAAGCTTCACTTACGATGCAACTTAACTAGGGTTTTGTTACGTCGATAAACGTTGCAACGCAAAAAAGCGTGCGTCAACTCAAAGGTATACTCGAGTCGCAAGTAAATTTATGTAAGTGCTCGTGTTTATATTGTTTCTATTTAGCCTACATTAAAAAATACAATTTAAAAAAAAAACATTCAAAAGTATTTTTTAAATCGGAATTAAGAAAATAAATCTTAAATACAGTAGAATGTATATTTCGCAACGCAACGCAGTTTGTTGCGTAGACGAGCAGATAGTAGCTTTCCCATGCTTTAATTTTTAATGCAAAAAATTCTTACAAAAAATAAAATAATCATAATCAAAAATCTTTCATAAAATGAATAAACAAGACAAAAATTTAAAAACAAAAGAAAGAAAGCATTCGTACTGGAAAATAGTTTCAGAGAAACAAGTGAAAACAAAAAGCACCTCACACCATGCAGGTTAGTTGTTAAGGAGCAATGAAGGCTGTGACGCCACGGAGTTAGTAAGTTAATGAAATAATTCTTAAGGGAAATTACTGACGACATGAAATAAGGGATGAGGACTTACGTAGAGGGGATCTCCAGGCTCCCGGCGTCTCAACCTGCCAGCCCTGAAACAAGTCACCATTACCATGGCTATAATTTCAATTAATGCAACCCCTAGTTTTGGTAAATAAATTTATTAATAAAATTTAAACATTATCACACTTAATCCCGCACATTTTTCAACCTCGTATCGCTCTTTTTAAAAAAAAAATAAAATTAATTAATTAACCAATAGAGAAGAAATACAGGTAACACGTTAGAATATTTAAATTTTTAAATTTAACCAATAAAGATCCTAAAATTTTAAATTCGTAATTTACTTTCTATTATTGGTTCGATTTAAATATCAATAAACCAATCAGAGTAATCGCTCCGACGTTAATATTTTAAACGCTCCAATTAGACTGTAGAATTTAAATTACGTCATATATATTGTTTATAAGTGGCCAATCAGTGCATGATTACGTAAACGAATTTAAATTTAAAATGGCTTCCATCTTTTTTAACTTATAAATTATCAATATATAAGAAATTGCGTTTTATTTTTGATCGTAAATCGCTAATCAGGAAGCGACATGATCGCTTTCAGCTGTCATTTTTCGCTCGATATAAATCTCACGTGATTTTTTTTTCTTGCATATCAATCGCTTGAGGCCGATATCTTCATGTTTTGGATGTAAATTTTCTGTTAAAAACCGATCGAAAACCATTTTTTGAATATCGATTGCCGATGGCAAACCGATTATAAAACATTTGCCTACATTTACATATAATTAGACTAAATATATAAAGTTGCCAAACGTTAAAAATATTTTGAAAAGAGTCGTTGTGTACTGAATATCGATTTATTATTATTATTATTCTTTTTGGCATTATTCCTTATCGAATTAAATAATCAAAATGGCGAATTTTCGCAATATTTTCGAAGCGGGAATAACTGTGACATGAATATTCTTAAACAATTCTATAAAAAATATATATATATATAAATTTAAATGTATTTACTGTTATAGAAATGATTAAAAATTAATCAATAATTGCAATTAATCGTTACTTATTAAATTAGAATATTTGAAAATTTAAAATTCTGTATTCATATTTCATTGGTTGAATGTTTAAATTGTTGAAACTTACCTCATGTGTGACGTCATGACTGTAAGCGGCACTGCCGTAACTGACAGGTGGCGCCACCTTCCCGCTTGCGGGACTCGTACTGTTGTGGGGTGAAGACGACTTGGGGGCACTGACATTCCCGTTCCATTTACAAGCCGACGACGTCACTAAGTCCGTCCCCTTGATAGAGGAATCGTTATAACGAGGTAACTTACCATCGAAAATGGCCGAAGAAGAAGACATGTGCCCCGAAGACGATCTCGATAGCGAATTACCCCACATTAGAACACTTTGTCGAGTATCGTTACTGAAAGCGGAAACTATCGACGCCTGTCCGTCATTTTTATTATCCCTGGCATCCCTGAGGTGTGGAGGTAAAGGGTTCGTACTCTTGGGTTTGATGACGTTGATGCAATCAGTGGGTGGTAATGAGAAATTCAAGTTGTGGCATCCCAAATCGGAGAGCTTGGGTTCACGATCTAAGGTGGGTATTAACGGTTGAATCCCTGCACTGGTTGCAGTCATTAAACACCCACGCAACGTGGCACTGGGATCTGATGTAGAGACATACGCTTCACAACACGAAGATTTAGTTCCCATCTGTTGCACCAAACGACTGGAATCACCGTTAAATTTAGCAGTTTCTAATTGGCAGGGATACAGTTTATCGTCTTTAGAAAGTTGACCACCGTCTGCATAAGGAAAGCAAGTCCTGGTTGTCATATCTAAGAAACCATTGCTGGAGTATTGTGTAGTATGATAGTCGGAATAATATCCACCAAGATGGCGATAATGGATGAAGTTCTCCGGCGATAAGAACCGAGTATTGTCGATGGCTGTGAACAAATTTTGTGGCATCGCCGTGGCATATGTAGACAATCCGTTTACTCCTTCCGTTGGATAGGGATACACATTGTTATACGGAGTATCCTCGATATAGGATTCTCCAGGGACCTTCCTTTTCCTGCAAGTGGTTAGAAGATCTCGGATTTGAGATTTGTATCTACGATTGCGTTGGCAACGTAATACGAAGTCACTATCGGAAAGTAGAGCATTCCTATCTGTCATTACACCTAGTCCTCCATCCAGATACGTGACTTTGAAGTCCATTGTCCTTTTACCTAAAAGATCGCGACCTTCTTCTTCCCTAAAAATTTGAATAACATAATTACTTAGTGTACTATCAGATATTAGCATGAATTTATTAAAAATGCTTACATTAAAGGCCTATGGGTACAGAGGATGAAGTCTGGTTTACTGTTTTTATATACCAAACGCGCACTACTCTGTAACCATTGCCATTTTTGTTCTTTCGTCACAAGTCGATAGGCTATCAGTCCAGAAGCTCCTGTCTTTAGTACTGTATATATATATATATAACAATTTTAAAATGTGACAATTACATTTCAAGCAGTAACTAAAAACTACACTCACATTCCTGATGGGCACTTGCCACGTAAGCTAGATCATCATAATGGACAAAATCGTATCCACCCTTATTAGCCAGCTCTCCGTCTGAATAACCAAGTAATTGTTTGCCTCTAAAATGAAGAAATTTAATTAATTTTAACCATTTTACATCGAAAATATATTGAAAACCGCATCGAGTCTTACCTCTGATCCATAGAAACTAGCGATAAATCTAATTTATGTTTGCTTTTGAACATGGAATCTTTCTGTGGCATTTCAAGAAGAGATGGCGGCCCAAACGGTGTACAAACTGCGAATAAGGCTAGGGGTGGTTCCTCCGTTTTGTGATTCTGTCCGTGGAGTATTTTTATACGTCCTCGTATGTCGAGTCGCTGAATATACAAGTATTGTACTATTAAAATTCCTAAAGTAAGAACTCTTAACGTAATTATAGTAAAGGATAATACATACCAGAAAACCGGAGGTATTATCTAGCAAACATCTGAACCTCACTGTAAAATTTCTCTCCAAATATTGGATATTTTCTGTAAGAAGAAACATATAATTCATTAGAAAGAATGGCAACCGTAGAAGGAATAGCGACTATGCATGTCAGCAGAGGAAAAAAAAAATTAATTATACCTTCATAGTAGTGTAAAAAAAAAGAGGGCACATCGATAATTTTGCGTAGAAAAGAATGTAGTTTTTTTCAATAAAATCTTATTACCGAATCATTGCCGTTAGTAATGAATGAAGCAGAGGGGGAAGGAAAAATACTACTAGATCCACTTCGTGTATCTCAGTCGGTGGCATCATTTAATTCTTCCTCACAATAACCAGCAATTACCCGATATATTTGTGTGTGTATTCAAGAAATGTATATAAAAAAAGAGCCCATACTCGGCACGAATACAATACTAAGACACGCAAACGATGAAGGGGGATAGTATCAATTTTCGGAAGAGGGCCCCTTCCGAGGATAACGAGGTGACCTCTTTCACCTTTACCTCTTATCATGGTTCATCTAACATTTTACTGCCATGTTTCGGCCTGTGGCCAATTTATTCTGATTTATTATTAATATTCGTCTTTGTAATAATAATCAGTTTACAGATCTTAACACGTTACAAAAAAAAAAATATATATATATATATATATAGGCCTATATATATCGAAATTACTAATTTACATTCATGTACGGACGAAATTTCAATTGTTTTTGTTATATTTTTATTATAATTAATAGATAATAAATAGGTGTGAACACTAGTTAAACGCGGGTGTTTGGATAAGATTTTTTTAGGGGGAAAACCTCTGATTTCTACTGATGATGGGTTATCAGTAGAAAGGGGGAAAAAAAGTGTTATTTATGAGTAAGCATCGCTGACGGTAGCGTGAGACACGATATCCAGGTATAAATCATTTCGGTAGATCTATGAATTGAAACAAAGCAAATATCCGAAAGTGGATCGATCGCTGGAAAATGTAGTGTAGAACCAACACCTCTGACAATTGTTACAGAACACGCCACGCTAAAGCATCTATCTGCTTATTATTGAACTGTGCCTCGTTTAAGGAAACATCAATGGCAATCTATTGACTGCAAATCTCGTGTGTACACCGAGAAGCCATTCTTCAACTACAATAGAAGTAAACCCATCGCCATGCCCGATTAACCAGGCACTAGAAGCTAGCAGATAAACGAATTAGGGAGTTGATCGCAACTTACCTGTCATTAAGATCTCCTGAAGAGAAACATTAGTTCGATCTGTTGGAAGATGAGAATTCCACATTAAATATCTCTGTAATTCTTCTCTATCTTCCGAATGGACTAATTCGTAAACGCTTTGATGGCAGATGTCAGACTGAAAGAGAAAGAAATTGGGTAATATCACCGCCATTTTAAACTTGTATAAATTAACAATCGATAGACGAAATATAGTGTTTTTATAATCTTAAATCTTAATTAATATATTAAAGAAGATATCGCTTTAATAAATTAATAATTTGAAATATTGACATAAGCGATTGGGCTCATACAACAGCCCAACGAATTAATCCTTCTCGAGTTGTGATCCACTGGCAGATGGACAAAAATCAACAAAACTGTGGGCGATGGAAGACCAAGACATTCTGACGTCAAAAGAAAGAAAAAAGAAGATAGTATGAGTACAAAGAAAAGATGGATGTTTCATAGAGAAGGTACCCCTAGGGGTTATAGCGCTTCAAGTTTGTCTCGACTATCCATCTTTGTCTCGAAAGTTTTCTTTCTAAGCGATGCCGATAAAGATGTTCCCCCCTTATCCAGGGATATCTAGTCTGGATAATTAATGTTTGTTTACGTGTAGCATCACATCTGTAGAGATTACCCTCGCCTTGATTGTCACGTCATTAATATCTGGAGCGCGAAAGTACAAGTAGAAGAGGAAGACGAACAAAAAAGAAAAAAAAAAAAATGGAAGAAGGCCATCTGTTTACTTCTCCGGGCTACCGGCGAGGTCGCTAGTATCGAGTAATCATTGGAAAAGAATGACGAAGAAATTTTTACAGGGGGGGCAAAGCGAAGTTTTGTAGGAAAATTAAAGATATCGATTTGGATGTTTTGGCGAGAAAGCAATGATTAGTGGTTGTGATAGGAACGTAACGGCCGAGTGGATATTGGAAAACGGATAATTGCCTGGTGGGTGGATAGCTACTCTCATTAGGATGGTAATGGGCGTTCGGAATTCGTTCGGAGATTTCCAATCTCGCTCTTAATGAACAGTTTTGAGAATTTCAGCATGTTTTTATTTTAGAAATAAAAATGGTAACGTTAACTTGAACAAACGAAAATAATTGAAGGTTTAATGATCGAAATGTGCACCTTGCTTGCCAAGTTCGGGGNGCTTACAAAATAACCTCCAAACAACGGCCTTTTTTCAGAAGCATTCCTTTTTTAGGGCTTACAAAATAACCTCCAAACGACGGCCTTTTTTCAGAAGTATTTCTTTATGAATGCTTACAAAATAATCTCCAAACAACGACCACCTCTGAACAACGGCCATATTTTATGCTCTCGTCAGTGGCCATCATTCGAAAGTTTAACGGTATTATTAGCAAAGTATCCAATATAAATTATATTTGTTTTATCTGTTGAATTTATGAAGTGTTTAAGAAAAATTTGACAGAAATTCTAAAAAAAAAATCACTTCTAGATTTTTTGAAATTAAAGATAACAAATCACAACCGATTTTAACGTATGGGCCTATTCGATTGGTTGAGATTACTACACATTTTGACGTCAATTTGACGTAACCATTTCAATCTTACAATAAAAAACGCCGAAGAATGACGTCAAATTTACGTAAAAATAAACACTATTCCAATCAATCGAACAGAAGTGATGTGTAATAAGATTTCGAGCATTAAAACAAGATTGTAAACATACATTTCTGCGGAAGAATAGATTAACACATCGCAAAACACAGCGGTTTAAATAATAAAAGTAAACGAAAACTTGCCTAATACAAATTGCGAAATTATATTACCAGACATATTCTATCATGGCTTCCACCAAGAAATATACTCAATTAATGACTTCACAGAGAGCTAATGAAGAATGTACATGTAAATTTCGTAATGGATCTACCGTCCAAAATTGCATTCAATCTTGCTAAGGCTTTAACTTTAATTAACTTAGAGTGCTATCAATTTAATGTTTCTAAATGTCCTTGTTTGTTTATCCGCTCTGATTTTATTGTATTTACCCGAGATAACGTACTCTAATACAAGAATGAATGAAACGAAAGATAATTTTAAATTACGTGACGTCACAACAGATTTGTTTTAATTAGTTTTTAATTTTGAATAAATAACATTAAATTAATGTGTAATAAATTATATTTTATTAAATAATTTCAATTAATTTGAATTAATAAANTAATTAATAGATAATAAATAGGTGTGAACACTAGTTAAACGCGGGTGTTTGGATAAGATTTTTTTAGGGGGAAAACCTCTGATTTCTACTGATGATGGGTTATCAGTAGAAAGGGGGAAAAAAAGTGTTATTTATGAGTAAGCATCGCTGACGGTAGCGTGAGACACGATATCCAGGTATAAATCATTTCGGTAGATCTATGAATTGAAACAAAGCAAATATCCGAAAGTGGATCGATCGCTGGAAAATGTAGTGTAGAACCAACACCTCTGACAATTGTTACAGAACACGCCACGCTAAAGCATCTATCTGCTTATTATTGAACTGTGCCTCGTTTAAGGAAACATCAATGGCAATCTATTGACTGCAAATCTCGTGTGTACACCGAGAAGCCATTCTTCAACTACAATAGAAGTAAACCCATCGCCATGCCCGATTAACCAGGCACTAGAAGCTAGCAGATAAACGAATTAGGGAGTTGATCGCAACTTACCTGTCATTAAGATCTCCTGAAGAGAAACATTAGTTCGATCTGTTGGAAGATGAGAATTCCACATTAAATATCTCTGTAATTCTTCTCTATCTTCCGAATGGACTAATTCGTAAACGCTTTGATGGCAGATGTCAGACTGAAAGAGAAAGAAATTGGGTAATATCACCGCCATTTTAAACTTGTATAAATTAACAATCGATAGACGAAATATAGTGTTTTTATAATCTTAAATCTTAATTAATATATTAAAGAAGATATCGCTTTAATAAATTAATAATTTGAAATATTGACATAAGCGATTGGGCTCATACAACAGCCCAACGAATTAATCCTTCTCGAGTTGTGATCCACTGGCAGATGGACAAAAATCAACAAAACTGTGGGCGATGGAAGACCAAGACATTCTGACGTCAAAAGAAAGAAAAAAGAAGATAGTATGAGTACAAAGAAAAGATGGATGTTTCATAGAGAAGGTACCCCTAGGGGTTATAGCGCTTCAAGTTTGTCTCGACTATCCATCTTTGTCTCGAAAGTTTTCTTTCTAAGCGATGCCGATAAAGATGTTCCCCCCTTATCCAGGGATATCTAGTCTGGATAATTAATGTTTGTTTACGTGTAGCATCACATCTGTAGAGATTACCCTCGCCTTGATTGTCACGTCATTAATATCTGGAGCGCGAAAGTACAAGTAGAAGAGGAAGACGAACAAAAAAGAAAAAAAAAAAAAATGGAAGAAGGCCATCTGTTTACTTCTCCGGGCTACCGGCGAGGTCGCTAGTATCGAGTAATCATTGGAAAAGAATGACGAAGAAATTTTTACAGGGGGGGCAAAGCGAAGTTTTGTAGGAAAATTAAAGATATCGATTTGGATGTTTTGGCGAGAAAGCAATGATTAGTGGTTGTGATAGGAACGTAACGGCCGAGTGGATATTGGAAAACGGATAATTGCCTGGTGGGTGGATAGCTACTCTCATTAGGATGGTAATGGGCGTTCGGAATTCGTTCGGAGATTTCCAATCTCGCTCTTAATGAACAGTTTTGAGAATTTCAGCATGTTTTTATTTTAGAAATAAAAATGGTAACGTTAACTTGAACAAACGAAAATAATTGAAGGTTTAATGATCGAAATGTGCACCTTGCTTGCCAAGTTCGGGGAATCCTTATTCGTTATAATAGCTCGAAAAATATAGTTGCACGCTACTTCATAGATTGGGGGTGCTTTGATCAGACCATAAGAATGCTACATTATCGAGTTTCGGAATGGCGGATATTAACAGAAGTACACCATTATAATTTATACAAGGGGGAGTGAAATTACTAAAATATTCATAAGTTAAGCTTCTTACACGGCATAATTTATAGGAATTTTACAAGGAGGGGGGAATGTTCTAAAGTTCTCTCTAAAGTATAGACTTTTGTATTCCAATTCTAACGGTATTAGAACTGTGTTTAATTTGATCATTATAAACATAGTTAATGCTATGTAAATAAGATTCTATTCGCCTCTCCTTTAGGTCACACTATTACGGCATAAAGAAAACCGAGATGCAACCTGTTTAGAGAGAGCCGAACCTGTTAAATTTTAAAATTACAGTGTCACAACCTATCACATCATAAAGAATGACACAAATTAGCACGGAACATATAGAAGTTTCCATTTTAATTCCGACTGCGAGACACCTCGTAACATAATTTTCGCGGTTTCCTACAAGAGGAAAAAAAAAAAAAAAAGACCAGGAAGTAGTCGGCCATCATTTAAAGTGAGAAGCGACCTCTGGTCAATCATAAGAGGTTGGATGGGAGGTGTTTGCGGCTCCCTTTGTATAGGCAAGGCGACGTATAGACTGCCGACCTGCACTGTATAATTAGGTGTGGCGGTTGTGACCCGCCGACCATCAATAAAGCAGCCCCCATGACAGATAAGCGTCCTTTAATGGAATTTAGTCGCTCTTCTAATCAAGCGAAGTAATTAGAACTTCTCGCTTTTGAAGACGGTAGAAGCAAAGGAAAATGAAAAAAAAAAAGAAAGAACCGCTAATAAAAATATTAACAAACTATACATCATACAGTAAACTCCTCCCTCTTACGATTTTTCCCATGGTTCCATGCAAGATTTGCGTGCAAAGCGGGATTGTTTTCCTTTCATAATCAACACCTCGTACGACAGTTTTGTAAACAACGGGTGCTCGAACTCGTTACCCTACGCGCGCATTCCAGTCCAAGCAACAATCGACTGTATTTTGATTTAATCTAATCTATTCATTCTTAAAAATAAAATATATATATAAAAAAAAG